GGACCATTTGTCACTGCACTCAGCTATGGTATGGTGGCATGGTCGGGGCATGAAGCAGGGGTACAGCTTGGAAATGCTGATCTTCATGACATTTTAAACACATTTTTCATTACTTTTGTGTCGAGTTGTCAGCATTCTAAAGGTGAGAAAGCAAGCAGCAGCGACAGCAAGAAAAGAAAAATTTAAGACCGCTTTCACCAAGAATCAATTACGAGCACTAGAAAGGCATGGAGTGTAATTAAAACGCTTCTAAAGGTGAATTAGCGTATAAATTAAGTAGTTGTGCCTCAAAAATACAAAAAAAAAAACAATGTAAATATAGTTATAAGGATAAAAATATACACCAGGAGGACTTAAACCAAAACTACAGTCTGTAAGTTTGAAATTCGACACCTTAAGCCACTTGGCCACCACCCAATTTTATTTCCAGGTCGTTCATTGAGGTATATGAATTTTGTTTGCAGCTGTCGGCTGCAAGAGAGATTGCCTTATTTTCATTTACTTTACTATTCCCACCAAATATGACAAGTGATAAAGAATAGAACCTCATTTGGTTGGCCGAAGCAGTGTGCTTGCATGAAGGCAAACTAGCCTGTCTTGCTGTGTTCATATTTTGTTTCATCATCTGTTTAGGATTCTGTTGTCGCTCATCAAAAGAAGAAAAAAAAAACTGACTAATTCTGACTTATTCTGGTGTGCAGGTACCCTTGGCAGTAAACTCTGCTAAATGGGGCAAAATATAGATACTTTTTTTAGCAAATATGCATCGTTTTAGCAAAATGAGCTACACTATTTGACTAACATGAAACAGAACGAGCCTCTCCACTTGGGTCTTTTTTCATCTCTCGCAGACACTATTTCCTGCTTTTTGTGGTTTGTATCAAACTTTTGTATTCTGTCCGGCCAAAGCATCTGTGTTACACTAAGACTGGGTTCTTTAGGATATCTACAGGTATTCTTCGCAGCAAATGGCTTCCAATCAGGAACACGAGTTTGTCCTCGGCCACCGAGAGCAAGTATTTTCAAGGTGAGCTATTGCCTGCCTATGAGTTTTGTATTTCATTCCTCTTGAATGCCATAACTTATGTGTAGTGGTCTTGCATTAGTATTTTGTTGTCTCTCTTCTGCAAAAACACCCAAGTTTGACTAAGACCAGGTTCTTTCTTATACATGCAGGTCTTGGTGGGAAGCACCAGCCAATCAAGGCCAGAAGTTTGCTCTTTGCCGCGCATGGCAAGTGTTTTCAAGGTGAGTGATTCACGCCTATCTGAGTTGTGCGTTTCATTCCTCGCAGACACTCTATTTCCTGTCTGTATAGTGGCCTTGTTTCAGGCTTTTGTGTCTCTGTCCGGCCAAAGCATCTGTGTTAGACTAATCTTTAGGATATGTGCAGCAATTCTTGGCAGCAAGTGGCTTCCAATCAGGAACACGAGTTTGTCCTCGGCCACCAAAAGCAAGTATTTTCAAGGCGAGCTATAGCCCGCCTATATGAGTTTCAGCATTCATCAAGGAGCGCAAAATCAAAGCCCGGGGGTTGGCCATTGCAAAAATGTTGACTCGGAAGCGCATAGGGAGGAAGCTGTACAAAAGTATCCACCTGCCTCTACAAGTAAAACCGAAACTAAAGGCCCGTTCACACTCTTGCGACCGAGTACGACCGAGTACGGCTGAGAGAGACGAGGATCTCTTACAACTTCTTAAATGTTTTTAGAATGAGGGAACACACTGGTATTGTGGCGCCATCTATGCGGTGACCCTGGAACTGCATTTCACAAGAGCGATGGTTTTGCGGGATTTCCGAGGTCAAATGTGCGTAATAACCATAGAAAGGCTCGTTTATAACATTGACAAAAGTGTTTCGAGCCAAAAAAGAAAGAATAATGCGCGAGAAATAAAAAAAAAATAAAAAATATGCCGGACCGCCGAGTTTACACTGCTTCCCAATAGATGGCGCCAGTGTGTTCTCTGGTTTAAGAAGTTTTAAGGAACCCAGGTTTAAGAGGTCGCAAGCAGTCGCAAGAGTGTGAACGGGCCTTAAGAATGTGGGTTCCATTTGAAAAAAAAACAAAACAACATTGTCAGCCCGAATTAACTCGGGGGCGGCACTGAGCAAACAAGCCACGGTACGAGTATGCTTGGTTCAGGCGTTTGTAGGGGTGGTAGATGATTCGGTGTTTTCTAAAAAAAATAATTTTTTTTCTAAAAGTGTGGTGGTCGAATATTCAGGGATGGGCATTGAGTCGGGATGTTAAGGTAAAAATTTCATCCACATGCCGGGATTCATGTGCCTTGTCCCCCTAGCGAGGGGGACAAGGCCTTCAAAATTTTGGGTTCGCAAAAGGGGTGCGTCAGTATTGACGTCTCATTTTACATCATTCGTCTCAATTTAAAACGCACTATAAATGACATGCCTGAGATTCGTTTGGGTGCACTTCCTCTCAGCAAGTATATGGTTCTGTCTCAAAAAGGTCTAATCTGATGTTGACCGCTCCCCAGGTCTCCACCGACGATTCATCAGGACGAGACCCGACCGGGACACTAGGGAGGAACGGCTTAAGCAAGGGAGGCTACATATACGACAGCTTCTTGCGGACAAGAAACGAAAATAGATAGATGGTGTGTGTTTCATTTGCTATGCCTTTTGGCGTGTACATTATGTTTGTTATGTTTCAAGATTCCTGCAGAGTTCGGTTTCAACTATTGTAAAATACCGAGCATGCGCCCAGGTCGCAGAAGCGCCTACCCTCTGATTCGGAACGATCCGCAAATAAGCAAAGGTCATACCAGACACCCATCCACCTGTTTTGAGCCATGCTCAAAATATTATAAGAGCACTTCAAGCGTCAGGTGCTGTGGCGCCTTTGCCACAATAGCGCCAGTCGCAGGGCTGACAGATCCGTGACTGGCGCAAGCCATGGCATGGCCTTTGGGAACCAGGGAATTGAGATTAAAGAAGTAGCGCAGAAATTGGAGGCGAGTGGTGAAGGTGAGCAGAGTTAACAGAAAACAAGGATGAAGGGAGTTCCGTCGCATGAGGCATCTGTGTCCCGTGCATGTAATTTTGAGTGTGCTGTAGGTGGCTACCCAAAAAAATTGTTACTTGGACGTAACTAATCGCAAACCTCTCTTGCAGTTTCCATGGCCCACAAGCCAGCCGGCGCCAGTTCGTTCTCGTTCAAAGGTGAGGATTCTAGATTTTCTAGATTGCTCTGAAGCAGCAATACTGAAGCCGGAGAAGCGGTACGGCATATTTAATTGACAGAACGACTGGGGACGCTTTCACTGAAGCTTGTTTTGCTGCAATACACGTGTGTATTGCAGCAAAACAAGCTTCAGTGAAAGCGTCCCTACTCGTTCTGAGCTCCGTCAATTAAAGGTGCCGTACCTGTTGTCTGTCTGGCTTCAGTGTTGCTGTAGGCGACAAAACGTGTGCCCAGTTTTGTCACAAGAGGCATATTATGTCACGCACATGTAATTTTGAATTTATCGGGCTTAGTGTGCTGTAGGTGGCTGGTCAAAGAAATTGATACTTGGACGCAGCTAATCGCAAATCTTTCTGGCAGTTTCCACAGCCTAAGAGCCAGCAGGTCCCAGTTAGCTTTTCTTCAAAGGGGAGAATTCCAGATTCCCGAAGGAGGAATACTGAAGCCATATGACCGGTACAGCATTTTTAATTGACGGAGCTCAGAACGACTGGGAGCTCCTGCAGTGAAGCTTATTTTTCTGTAATACAAGCGGGCGACATTGACACGTGCCCAGTTACGTCGCAAGAGGATATCTATGTCCCGCGGATGTAATTTTGAATCTTTCAGACTTAGTGTACTTTACGTGGCTACTCAAAGTAACTGCTACTTGGACGCAACTAACCGCAAATCTCTCTTCCAGTTTCCACGGCCTACAAGCAAGCAAGCACCAGTTCGTTTTTCCTCAAAGGTGAGCATTCCAGATACTCTAGTTAGGTGCGAAGCAGGAATAGTGAAGCCAGAAGAGAGGATACGTATATTTAATTGACTGAGCTCAGAATGACCTGTGGCAGTGGCATTGAAGCTTATTTTTCCACAATCAAACGCAGACATAATTTTGAATCTACCCGCTTGGTGAAGGATTGCTACTTGTCGCGAACTAATCACAAATTTTTATTTTGCAGTTTCTATATGGCTACAGCTAGCAGGTGCTGTTTTCATTAAGGTGAGGATTTCACATTCTGTTTTCAAACATCAAGTTTTTGAATGAGAGTCCTAAACAATTAACTTTCTTTTGCAGTAAATGCCAGATCCTCCAGTTCAGGAATATGTTAAATATATTTGGTATGGATAAGTCCAGTGTTTTGCTTCTTTATTCACAATTTCACAACAGCAACATTTTTTAAATTTATCACTCAGAAATACACACAAGAAGAGACTGCGTTACAGAGAAATGTTGCGCTGAACGTGATATTCCAACTCGTATATAGTTTTATTGGTAGCCGATATAATATATTGGATTCCAATATCCATAATATGCTGAGTATATTGGAATCGTAAACCCTTATTGGATCCCCATACGACACATGGGGATCCAATAAGGGTTTATACGGTATTGGATTTCAATATTTTCAGCGTATTATGGATATTGGAATCCCATAACAAATCCTTATTGTAATACAATACAATAAATGTAATGTTTTCCAATACACTGTCTATATTGTATTGCAATACAATAAAAAGATATTGTTTACCAATATCCATAATACGCTGTTTATATTGGGGTTTTCCAATAGGGAACTCACTCTTCTACACAAAAGTGCTAGAAGACATGCGAGAGAGCAGCAGCTGGAGGTTGGCGGACGAAGGTAACAGCTCGAAATATTAGCGGGAAATTCCTCGTGATTTTACATTTCGTTGAGGAAGGAAGATTCAGTTGAACAAGCATCTTTCACAGCCAGTGCGGACAAAACTTTCGAGCGCAACCGTGTGCTGTCTGGGCTTCAGTGAATATATATTAAGGTTTGGCATACACACCTTTAGATGCAACTTCCAGAAGAAAGGCAGCTACAGAAATCGCCGTGAACATCAGGTAGAGCAAGAAGATGGACTGCACTTCAAATATCGACAGTGGTGTGTAGACTTCCTCGTGGTTGGCCGCAGAACAGGCTGCCCAGTCCCCATATTCCCTGTTCATCCATGCTTGCAGCAGGCCACTTTCTACCACCCAGTTGATCCTATTTAAAAAGTCTTTTTTTAGGCGTTTGCATTGACATACATTTTTAAAGTTACATATGAGCACATATTAGCTGCAACCTTATGTTGTGCAGTAGAATGATTTCGAAAATACCTGGTAATTCAAGCGTTGAGGAAGAAAACAAAGACAAAAAAGACGGAAGATAACACATTGTTACTGCTACGGTTCAAGTTCACGCAGGAATGTTTCTTTATCTAGCAAATTTCGTGAGTTTGGTAATCTGGGAATTACACTTTATGATATTAACGAAGACAACTGTAAATACCTATATGATTAGAGGAGACAACTGTAAAGCCGTATATATTTCTCATGATAATGCTATTCGCTATTTTAGAATAAATATTGAACGTGCTTTACAGCATAACAATTCAACAGTGTATTGTGCGTTCTCTTTGTTTGTTTTTTTTGATGAAGAAGGTTATAGTAATTAAAAAATATGAACTGTTTTCTACTTCAGTAGTGCGCTAATTATTGCTGTTTTTTTTAAAGTATGATTCTAAAGATTAGAGGTTTTAAGTTCTGGTTTATTCACACACTTTCTAGCATCAGATACAGTTGGCTACTTGACACAAAAAGGAAATTATATTATTTTTAACCAACACAGTTGAAACAAGCTTGTGGCCGTGGATAAATTTGTTGACTTAGCATACACACTAGTATTACTGGTAGTCAATAGACACCCAAGAAGCTCCGAACGCAAATTATAATATGTTGGCATATCCCTTCGTGATTAGTTTATCAGCTAATGCCAGAATCTGCAGAACGACAATGGGCTCGGGACTCGCCGCTCCCTGTGCTTCTTAATCTGTCCCTGACTGTACGTTTGAATAGTTCAGTTCACTTCATTGTTTAACAGTAACCCGATATTAAAAGTGACACAATATCGTAATTAAAGTGTAGCACACGTAGTAATAATTTCTAAAAGACTAATTTCTTTCTTCTTCGATGAAGTTATAGGTGTAAGCAAAGGTGCGTTGTTATGTGAAGTAATTAAATAAATAATATTGTTAAGCTGTCTTAAAAATAGACGTTGACAATTCGGTAATAAAGGCTGGAGCGTGTGTGTGTGTGGGGGGGGGGGGGGGGACGGGGGAAGTGGGAGAGGACCACAGTCAAAATTAATATTAAAAATGAGGAGGGAAAAAGAAAATATAAGGGGAGGAATTACGAACGCTAGAATATACCCGCCATTACGAAGGGTACGCATCAAATAGTTTTGCATTCACACTATGTTCAATTAAAGTAGATAATAATACGTAGCCAATCACATATGAATACCACAGAGGACAGCTCTATTTATTGGAAATTAGGGGGAGAAGTTGCGAAAGACCAAGGAGGTAAGAATAGAGGAGGCAGGACGTCATGCCCCATAGCTTCCCCAAGCCACATTATCTTCAAACTTGTGTCTTCGCCGTCCACCTCCCCAAAACCTTCTTTCATATGAGGTCTTCAGTCACGGCGTCATGCTCGAAATTAATTCTGGTTATGTGCATGGTGAAAAAGAAACTTTCTCGGGTTTAGCGGTTTTACCCGTCGTATATGGACACCCCTGCAACCGAACGGTCGGCGGACGACTTTGCGTCTGCTTGCTTCCTTCCTTGTCTAGCATCGGCACTATAAAATTAAATAGTTATGCTCTTGCCAGATTGTTACCATGTGGAAGTTATAGTGTTTAACATAAGATATCAACGTCAATGTGAGAACAACGCGAGATATTAGTTGCGGCAGCAGCGAATGTCGATCATCGTTTGACAAATATGTTTATATCGAGTATTTGGGGATATGCCCTTTTATTAATATCACAACTTAAATATGTCGCTAATATATGTTAATCATACGTGTTCAACGTAACTTTTTTTTAAATTTTGACGGCGATTATTTTTGCGCAATTGCGCAAAAAACTATCGCGATGGCGATTGCCATGCAAAATACGTTTGTGAAAGGCTCACGCCTTTCACAAACGTATTTTATTGTGTAATACATTAGTTGTATTACAATACAACTAATGTATTACACATTTTTTTATTGCCTGCCGGAGTGCAGTTAAGCATGGGACTCGCTGTAGCGTTGTAGATTAACGCTACTGCTGCTGAGTTGACTAGATTGGACACTGGCGGTGCGTGCCACAACAGAGAAGCCCGGACCGGTCCGAAGCATAGGCGGCGCCCGCAAGGAAGCTACGGGACTACGAACGTCGACGTGCTCACTCGGCAGCAGAGTGAAATTGCGAGTGAGGCTTTAATGTATTGGCTTTCACAAAGTCATCCGTCGTATATTGTTGTTCTTTTTGGTCTGTTTTTTGACGTCGAACACAGCTTTTTAATTCGCCCATGGGATTATTTCAATAATAGTTATCGCAAGAAACGTTTGACCAACTTTTTAACGGAAAGAGGGACGCTATCTGGCACGCTCCCGTTCCGGAGACGTCAGATTTGAAGCACACAAATCTGCACTTTTATGGAATATAGTCCGCGGCAGCGGCACACTGTCAGTGCCGTGGCAGAGGCCGAAATTCATCGCTTGCGCAGCTCAATGAACATCGGAAAATTGAGAGCATTGCTATTAATTAGCGTTATTGCGACGTTCACCTCATCCAGGAGGTTCATGCCGGTGAAAGGAAAACTCCGTGGAAGTTTAACAAGAACAATTTTGGCAGTCGCTCACAGGCAAAGGTCAATATCGATTTGGCGACGAGCAACGCACATACAAATTTGGTTCCTAAAACTGCTCCGCAGCTGCTCGAGTCGTCTGCTCTTCCTTGTCCTTCGTCCGCCATTGCCCTCGCTTCGCTCTCGTGAAACCTACCGGGCGGAAGCGAGCGCAATGCTATTGGCAAGTTCTACAACCATCCATCCAGTTTGAATGTGACATGCCGCGTGACATGGTCACAAGGTCCTTCCGATATGTTAAACGTTTTATGACTAGGATTCAAACAAACAGAAACCTGCCCTGTCCAACTATTTTAACCTCCTTTGGAAATGGCTTGACGAGGTAGTGTTCTGACTTCATACTGCACCATTCAGGCGGTGCTTTATAGAGGAGTATAGACGTCAATCGCGTCCTATACGCAACTCATACTTGTCATTATTTTTTTATTTAATGACACTGTATTTTGGAAAAAAGATAGAACGGTTATAATTATGAAGGAACGACTTCGCACGGAAAATGCTTCATTTTATTAATTATGAGGGCGACCTAAGTTAAGCACTGCAGACAAGGGGATCATTTGCGTGCGGGTGATGTATCATGAGTGGAAACCAGTAGCATTGTCTTTTAATATTGTGAATTTTTAGATTACAGTTTGCATAGACGTGACCCTCGTGAAGGAAACAAAATACGGCACACTTAAAGCTTTCGTGGTCCCTCCGCACAGTAAAGTATTAGAATGTGACGCTGAGGTAATAAAAAAAGATTTACCCACTTCCTGGTAACAATGGAAATGAATTACTACTTTTTTTCAGAACTACGCATACATACTGCGATAAGAACTTTACGGACGACAAGGTTACTTCTATATATCAGTATTTTTAGACAAACTGCCAACACCTAAAGTCAAAATGTATATATAGAGAAACATAAATTCGATATGAAAACAATGACGCGGTATTTTTTTCCATATGTCAGTAGTGCACAACCTGCCCTGGAGTCATTACTTAAATCTCGCAAAAAGTGAAGCCAGTATAAGCCAGAGATAATCTCTGGGAGTCGCATAGTTTACTTACCTTTTGTTCATAAACTCCGTAAATCTGCTATCTGTGCCATTCCTCAGGGCGATCGCAAATTTGTGGGGAAAAAATTGCTCCTTGGCAAAGTAGTAGTTGGCATCGCGGAACAGGTGGCAGGTGCGTGACACGTGGTAGCGCATGGTCGTTACGTCACTCACAATCACCGCCTCGCCGGATAACACCGAACGTAGGTGGTTCATAGAATAAAGGGAATTGGTCTCGTAAGTGCCGTTGCACCGCTCCACCATCTTCCATACTGCTTGATACTCTTCGACATCCTTGGAATTCTGTCGAGAAAGGAGTTGGCCGAATTAACACCAGACATGAAAATGGGAGCAAATCCTTAGTTACATCAACCGAGTCATCAGACTTTAATAACGTTATCCATGCCTATTGCTTTTGGTTAACTATAAAGCGTGAAAGTGTGAATGGAGCTTGTAACTCTCTTTTGTTTCGTTACTAAGAGTACTGTTGTGCATTCGTTTTACATTGGATGCTTTTAACGTACCCTCGCCCCTTGAATCCAAAAACTGTATCTGCGTCCGTGCATTTCTTGCTAGATTCAGCTGGAAACTAATGCCAGACGACCTAACGTCGCGTGACTAATATTTAAAGAGAAAAAATTGAAACACGTGACCTGCACGTCAACTTAGTTTCCCCGCTAAATTTAGCGGGAAAATTCACGTCTTGAGAACTAAACCTATTCAGTTTTCCTGCTAAATGTTTCCGTAAAATAGACGTCACGTTACTTATACATCAATGGTATTTACCCACTAGCTTTAGCTGCGGGAATCGACGTCACGTGACCTATATAACGCTTTAGTTTCCCGCTAAATTTATCCGGAAAATATGCGTCACGTGTCACACCCCCATTTCTATGTTTCATTCCCGTACTCTCTCTCTGCATGCCCCCCCTTTCTCTTAGTCAACATTCTCCCGTCCCTCCCCCACCAACGTGCATTTTCCTCAGTCTCGTTCCCTCCCCACCGCCTTCTACCTCCTCCTCTCTCTCTCCCAATCTCTCCTCCCTTCTCATAAATTTCAATTTCCACATCCCTTTCGTTGCTCTCCCAGTCCCCTTCCTCAGCGTCCTACACCTACAGTGCCCTGTCCGCATGTCCACTTGCCTCCCTTCCCCTTCCGTCACTCCGTCCCTGGTCACGTGAAACACCACAAACTCAGTATAAAGAAAAATACAGGTCCTTGACATCCCCAAACAACCGTTTAAAGTCTTCTGAAATTTTGAAACAATCTCTCCTAAATGCTGCCCTTCATGTATTCTTGTACTATGAAGTTAAAGGTCGCTGTTGATTTTGCGTCCAGAAAATGCACCCTTTTCAAAAGTTCAGCAAGCAACATTGGCAGTCCCCATTGCTTGAACACGAAGCACGTGATTGGATCCGAGTCAATCCGAGTCCTCCGGAACGCTGATGCATCCTTCGCGTCTCATACATGGCCCGAGTATGTGACCAAGTAATCACAGACAGGCGTTTGTTGCAACTTTTGAGTGGGGTGTATTGAAAGAAAGATGAACTAGATCACCCTTCTCTTCAAAATATCCGATCCTATCTAAGAAAGGCTACTGCGGTTACGCAAAACTCGACCGATCTAAAGCTGTTCCCTCCGCTATTGGCCATCAGAAAATGACCATCTCGCAGACGTTTTGTAAAATGAGGCTTAAGCTATGATCGCGGGAACATCAAACTGAAAGTGATAGAGCGGCTCCAAGACTATTCGGAACCATCAACGTGGTGCCCAATTCTGACCTACTAATTTGGGACCATCACCGTGTGGACTCATTGATAATGTCACAAGGAAATTCTATAAAAGAAAAAAATAATCCTCATGATACATCTTATTTTTCGTATTGTAAAAACGAAGATATCGTTTCTAAAGTTCATGATGTTACCTTCGATTTTTCGTGTGATTTAATTTCATTGATACCAGTTCTGAATGTAATTGTTTGAAGAAAAAAAAAAAGAGCACAGATGCAGATTGTCGTACCTTGAGAAGGGCCTCGTAGGCGGTTCCTTTCCATATGAGCGTCCTCATGTTGGGATGTGCCGACAAAGCTTTCATGCTATCGATTCGTTCTGGCTCAGGCCTAATCATCATTGTCGCTTTCATATGACCAGTGAAGGCGTTCATGAGCACCAGTACTGTGAGCAACCACACAGCAAAAACAATTCTTCCGGATGTGTACGGCGGGGTTCTCGGCGAAGCTGAAATGGGAACGTGAAGAATGTGACGTATCAAAAAGGGGCGTGACACCAATGTACTGTGTTGTCGCAATGATTAATGCAATTCAGAAGTTGCGAATATGCATATATTTAGAGGCTGTCCTGCACTTAAGATTTTGCAACATCGGTTCCGCGCTGCAGGTGGTCACTTTAGCCTCTAGATTGCGAGCGCAAACATGTATCATGTAGTTAGAGCAAAACGACCGCACGCATGTTCCATCTGCGTCAGTTTCAATGATTCCGTTGAGATGAAATTCAGCCAAGGATCTCTGTGTTCTGCTCAGCAAGCTCTCTATGTTATGTGCTTTGTGTTTTGTATGCTGGCACACACAGCAACCGACCGCCCAAGACAGTAACTGAATTTGATGTTAGCACTCAAAGAGAAAACTTTGATAGATGTTTCACAATACGTTTATTTTTATTGCCTATAGAATAACCTATTAGTTAAGTAAAAAATGTATTTTTATCTCTAGCAACATTGTCTTTTAGAGCGCTGCTGCTCTTAGGCACGCGTTTCTCGCTTGAGCGGCGTCGAAGTCGCCGTCGCCGTCGGCGTCGGCGTCGGCATCGGCATCGGCATCGGCGTAACCGCGCGCGTTTCATTAAAAAGGGGGGGGGGGGGGGGGGGGTTGAACGATTTTAAGATTAAAAGAATTTGCATCTCGCCACTTTTACGTTGTTTATCGTGTCCCGGAGGATCGAGAAAACAACTCCTTCATTAAAAAATGCCGCAATGCCGTTGCATAATCGCAAATCAAAAGTCGAACTTTTTCTCCCTCCTGCAGCCGCCAGTGGCAGCGGAAGAACTACGGCGAGAAGCTTACGTGACCTCGCTCGGCTCTAAGCTGTAGCATAGCGCCCGCTAATGTCAGCAGAGAGGAGAGGAAGCGTCCTCCGAGAGAGCATACGGGGAGCTACGCGGCACCCCGAATTACGTCACTAGGAGGGGGACCGCTTGGGACCCTGAAGACTGGGAGTGGAGTTGAGGAACGTCAAAAATGCCAATATCTTCTTCTTTTTAACAACAACTAGGACGCGCAGGCGAAATCGGGTTTACGTACTTTACTTTAGAAGTGTCAGAGGGCAACTTCCTCAAATGTTTGACCGAAGCTCAAAAATCGTTGCACGCCATCTCCCCCCCCCCCCCCCCCCCCTTAAAGGGGCACTGACACATCAAAATAATATTTTTTTTTGAAAGGATTGAAAACAATGCCTGGACATTACCCTCAAAAGCGGAACCTAGGAATTCAGTATTTGTGAAGTAAAAAAACAGTTTCCAAATGCTAAATTTGAAGTTCCCGCGGAATCCGCGCCACTGGAGTGACGTCAAACTTTGAGGGCTCCCGAGAGTCGAGTTTCTTTCGCTCCTCCGCTCCCAGACGTGTCTCCGCGACCCGAAGCGAGGAGGTGAGAGCGGGGGAAGGGCGCCGGTGTCGCGGGAACCACCGACCGGGAAACCGGTTTCCTGCGTGAGCGCCGTGCTGCCTATCGCTTCGAGCAGACGACGGTGCCCCGGCAGTGTCACAACCGAAACTACGATACACAGACACCAAACCCAGTTGTTTTGACCGTTTAACGATTTCCTTATCGAAGTCTGAGAGGTCGTCGGGCACCTAAAAAACACCACTTTGTCCGATTCCCCGGCTCACCGATCACCCTCTGCTACATGCGTTGAGCGCCGCCATGTTTTCCGAGGGAGGATAGAAATCCAGAAGACGACATCACAACGGGCTCCGATTCTCGGTATTTTCGAGAAGAAGGACCGCAGTGCGTTCACAATTGCGTTAAATATATTTTACGATTGCCGTAATAAAATGTTATAAATATGTCCCCTACAAAGCTTCTAAATTTCATAATTCTTGACGTCAGGAATCAAAAGAAGCAAGGAGGCGAAAAGCGGGAGAGGAAAACGCCAAAAATAAAAAGGTGCGCGCGCGAGTGGGAAATTTGTTTTTCGCGATGCGGTTTATTTTTTTTTTTTTTTTTTGCGTGTCTATGACTACAACGTGCATCGTTTTAGATAATAAAAAAAAAATAAGACCTTTGGGTGTCAGTGCCTATTCAAAGAAATAATGCAAGCGGACGTAACCGCGCGTTGCGTTATGGGAAAATGTCTCAACCTAATTTATCGGGAAATTTTCTACGTAATTGAGCAGGGAAATATTCCCGCTAAATGTAGCGGGGGAGGACCAGGAGAATAGAGGAGGGGAAGGGATCATACCCTCCCCTCAGTACCCTCCCCTCCTCCACCTCAAAAGCTGCGAACTAATTCGGCATTGCAGAGATTTTTAAACGTTTCCATTTTTTTTAACAGTATGACGCATTTTCACTTTAAATAAGTGACGTTTTTAGGCAATAAAAGTATATGAATTTATGTAATAATATTAACAATGTCTTTATTTTCCATCCGAGTGATGTTGGGGGGTTGCGGAAAAAAAGCTGAATAAATCAGCTTGACGAGATCCCTCCTCCCCAGAAGTTATTCAATGTAGAAAGCAAAAAACAAAAACAAGCTTAGAAGAACCCATGAAAAGGAAAAATAAACATTAAACAGTCTAGATGGGAAAAGAATGTCATAAAAGGAATTTACAACGAAGAAAAAAAAATGTTGAGCTATATTAACGGCAGAAAACAAATTCGTATTTTGCGCACGCGGGAACCGTCGCGGGTCACGTGGTACAGCTGTGAGCCGCCGCACGCTGAGCGTAGTGCGCCACCGGTTCACGCCGCTTCAACGCGTTTCTCCACGCCGCCGCCACCGGAAGAGAACACTCCGGCGCGCCACCGCCGTCATTTTCTGACCGGCGCACAGATTTAGCACGTGGTGCTTGCGCCCTTTCAGGCGCTTCGATTGGGCTGCAAAAGTTACTTATTAATATTCGTTTTTTTTGTACTTTAAACGAAAATGAATAAGTAACTTTTTTAGAGGCCATAAGAAGATTCCGAAAGGGCGCAAAGCACCACGTGATAAATAGTGACCACTCACGTGATAAATAGCGGCACTTTTCCGCGGCGCCCACGGGCGTCAGACTGAAATTCGTTTCGCGCCGTACATTTATCTGATCAAAAAAACTGCTCCGACTTTACTCAACAAGATTAACAATTTAATCAAACGTTTCGTCTCCCATCCGGGAAACATCGTCAGTGAAACCTACATGCAGGAATGAGGGAAAAAACTTCAAGAGTCCTATTTAAGCAAGTCCGCGTACACATCGGGGAGGGGGCCGCGGTTGGAATTGCAAGCTGATGAGTCACTTCGGATGAACCATGATTCCACGAACCTGCGTGGACCCCACCTTTGTTCGCGCGCCAGAGTGGACGCATTCTCAAAGTCGAAACAGTGACCCGTAGTCCAACAATAACACGCGCAAACAGATGGGGCAAAGAAGAAGTCAGGATAATGGACGAATTAGGACAGGGCAAGTAACAATACCCTATTTGAGAGGTGTTTCTGAGTCTATTCGCAGGGCCCTTGCACCTTTGAATATCCGCACTGCTTTCAAACCCCATCGTAAACTACGCGACCTCATTTCTAAACCTAAAGATGACACCCCCCCAGAGTCCCAGTGCGGTGTTGTGTATAAAGTGGAGTGTCTAAACTGTGACGCATCCTACATTGGGGAGACAGGCCGGAAGCGCTGCACTCGCTTAAACGAACACAAAAGGGACGTGGCGAAGGCCACGCATGCGACAAGAGCGAAGACGGAACTCGTAGACCATTGTTGGACTACGGGTCACTGTTTCGACTTTGAGAATGCGTCCACTCTGGCGCGCGAACCAAGGTGGGGTCCACGCAGGTTCGTGGAATCATGGTTCATCCGAAGTGACTCATCAGCTTGCAATTCCAACCGCGGCCCCCTCCCCGATGTGTACGCGGACTTGCTTAAATAGGACTGTTGAAGTTTTTTCCCTCATTCCTGCGGGTGTAGGCCCGTTTGTCATGTGCGCTTTCGTCATAGGCCAACTGGTAATAGGCCCGTTCATCACAGCGGAACATTCGTCATAGGGGAATTTGTCCCTAGGAACGTTTGTCACTGTGCGAACCGGATATTTGAATTTGCCCAACATATATTCACCTGGCTGTGCATGCAATGAAGATTAGTACGGTATATTTAATTTTACTAAAGAGAGGGAACATCCAAACAAGTCATCGTTGTACTTAGAAAACAACTAATTTATTGAGCGAAAAAAAAAAAAAAATAAAAAGCGATATTCCGAACTCCCACCCTCAGGGTTTCTAGACGATTGCGACCATTGTAGCGGCTCACAATGATTTGAAGACGCCGGTTGCTGTCGTCGTGCTTCTTCGACACCCTCGAAGATGTCGTACCGCCCTCTGCTTGAGCCAGCTTCATCTCTGTTAAGGATAAAAAGAAAAAAGAACACACCCACTCTTGGAGAAAGCTTTTTGAGTGGGCAACGCACTGAAATTTTGAGCCACAAACGCAAAAATGTACTACAGAAACCCTCCAAGTTCTCAGAGGATTATGTCAGTTCTTACGTGCAGTCCTCGGAGCCACGCTTCGATGCTGTTGTTCGTCTTTGTTGGCCTTTCTGCTAGTGTTGATTTTCTGACTGACCAAACCAGAGGAGGGGAGGTGGCCGACGACAAGCCGTTTCGACGGGGTCTCCAGATATACACGTCCTCGAAGTAGTCCGCCACGAGTGAGGCATCGGTGGGGAAAACCTCGAGAAGTTCCTTGAAGGCCTCGGGAATGTCGGCAATTGGCAAGAAGGCCAATGCGGGATGCATTCCCATTTGAAAATCAACAAGAAATAAAGTAACCAATTGGCTTACCTGAAGACAACAATAAGACATATAAATAGAATGCCGCATACCAGAACAGCAAACTGGTCATCTGAATTGTAGCGACTCTGGTGACCACTAGAGCACACCTTCCTATCCCCAACTGGGATAAGTGAAAAAAACATCCCTGTATCGTTGATAGCCGCTATCTTGAAGTCTGTGTAAGCCACCTCAAGGCAGTTGGCTCCCCATGTGACTCAGAACGACATCGAAAAACCTTAAAACGAGCGAAGATATTTTGAAGTGTTTGAACACATATCCAATAATAGGACCACCGAGTGTTTCTTTTTATACGTTTATCAGAGCTCTTGAATGCTCACCTTTTGTAGGTAGCTTCAGATTTGTTGGGCAGCAAGCCGCAAACCATTGGCTTTACCACGCCGTTGACGGTGGCATGCTCCGTGTACAGTTAGTAGAACTTTGCCGGGTCACTTTAAAGGTCCCGTCCGCGAACCACGTAGTCGCCTGAGCAAGACAGCTCAAGTTGCGCTCGGTGGCAAAGATCAGGATTTTTTCGCCGCCGCCCTCTCCGCTATCGTGGAGGAGAAAGGAGTCTCCTTTGGCTGTGGTCTACATGCAGGTAAAAGTCATTATCATAATATTTCGCGCACTGTGATATTGCGCTGCAATACACTTTGCTTTGAACTCTGGGCATTCGATCGTATGTCGGCTCTGCAAGATGATACGCTCGAAATTTGCCCGCTGCCTTTGCTTCCGGATGGTGCGCCGAAGTGTTGGCGGTGCGGGAATTTGCAAAGCAGTGTCGTCACTGACACAGGCAACCGCAGCCAGAAGTATTTGGTGTGGTGCTAGACGGCCTTCCACTGGAATAAAGGACATTAGTGACCTTGTTTTGAGAATATAAGAGCAGGAACAGATTTTGGTACATACCAGATTTTTCCTTCATCTGATGACGAACCGAAGCACGTTTATCTTGGTGTTGTCAAATGCATGCGTATGGTCTCCTGAATAAGAGATTACACGAGTCTTGGCGTGATTGGTGACTATTTTAGTTTTACAAACTCCTCTTCGCCGGCAGGCCCAATACAACATAGTTTCGTAAACCTTAATGGAAGTGTAGGAATGTCCATCATGAAGAAGCATATCGCTACCTCTCTTAGTAGTAACTACCTCCATTTAGACAACGAGAGTGATATTTTTTTAATCGGAGGGTAACCTGCATAATAAACCCTAAAACGGGGCAAAAAAAAAAAAAAAAAAAAAAAAGAATCGCGTTCGGTGCGTTTTTTTCTATTGTGAACTTTATGTTCTCGAAGTTCTTTTGTAAGAAAGGTGACCCCGATAAGACAATATGCAGGCAAAAGGCTGCATGCTGCCTTAACTTGGGGTCATTGGGACATGCTTTTGTTTCCCGTAGTCAACCTCACTGGCCTTGTACGGATTTATTTAAGTGGCCCCCTTTCGTAACTTTCCTAAGAAAACAAGATAGAAAAAAAAAAGTTTAACAATCTTGAAGTCATTGTGTGACGAACTGCCAGCGTGACGAATCACCCTATCACGAATGTTCCGCTGTGACGAACGGGCCTGTTACCAGTTGCCCTATGACGAATCGACATGTGACGAATGGGCCGTATCCCCATTCCTGCATGTAGGTTTCACTGACGATGTTTCCCGGATGGGAGACGAAACGTTTGATTAAATTGTTAATCTTGTTGAGTAAAGTCGGAGCAGTTTTTTTTATCATTATGATTCCCGGCTTTTGGAATATTTTTGCGTACATTTATCTGTAAGCAATTTCTTTTTCGTTGTCAATTTGTTTTATGACTTCCTTTTACCATCCAGGTAGTTTAAAAAAAAAGTTTTTTTTTTCCTTTGGCTGTGTCCTTCAAAAGAAGATGAAGAAAATGTTCACACAAAACACTCATCTGCAGTTAATTCGGAGGGAACTGCTCAAGTGTAAACTATGATTTGTCACTCTACTTCTGCCTGCGTGCACCATAAAAATTATAGTCCCTCACAGCCTAACAAAGGCGGAGCGTGAGTCATTGAGGTCATGCTATGTTATTCGTTCATCGACGTTCTTCTCGGCTAATGTCGGAAATATATAGGCTGAGAAAGGCAATAAGAAGTTCGGGAAGAACAACGCCCGGCGTCTATTAAGTTGTCGTGGTTTTTACGGGCCTGCATACACGTTTAATTTTATTTTTATCTCTTTTGTCGCGCCATTTTTCAGAACGCCATGTTTATCAACTGCGTTTGCGTCATCGAGTTCTGCGTGCAAACTTAAATTTCAGTTGCTTATGGTATGACCGTTGATACTCATTGGAATCAATGCATATAACGCGTTGTCGGGTAATCGAAATTATATTACATTAACCATTATATATCGCTTTCGCAGCAGCAAAACATTGGGATGGTTTAATTGTTTACAGGGACCCTATTCCACAAATGGAGTAGGTGTCACATCCGCCTCGCTTCAAGAAACATCTGAGAGAAATACTCACACTCGCAGAACAATGCCGAAAAATATATCCACCAGTGCTCGATAAGCCTTTGTTTAGCTGTTGTCTTAGAATCGTCCATCAAAATGTCAACCACGAAGTTTGTGAAGACACAAAGCAATAACGAACAAAGAAGCCCCAGCCACACCTGAAAATGCCAACAAGTACAACAAAATTAAATTTTCGGCAACTCGCACACCACGGCATTTTTAAATCCAGTATTTTGGTTTATTGTAGAACACCCTTATATGCGCTGTATTGAACATTACCAAGGAAACTAACCAAAAGGTTGGTTTACTCTGAAAGGACAAACGTAACATCAATCCGAATCTTGTTAAGGCATGCATGTCTCAACAAAGTCGTTTAATTCAAATATCTCGTTTATAAGAGCCAAATATTATCTTCATTAATGCGCATGAAGTCCGAAGAGAAGGCGCTAAGAATGGGTCGTGGCACCGTAGCTAAGTTTAGCCAATGCGTGTTTTCGCACAAAGACCTACACGGAAGAGAGGAATTTCGAGACAACTTTTGAATGCGTAGCGTCGCTCCACAGTCCTCGTCTTTATCAGTTTTTATTCCAAGTGGCATCGGTAGTGTTAAATAAAACACGTTTTTTACACATGACAAAAATAAAAAAAAGCAAATTTTGCACCACTAGGACTAAAATATATCATCCCAATATACGTAAACCATTTTACCATTTGTATACAAGCATTAAACGCAGCTCTAAACGAAACAGCACAGACGGCGCTGACTTTTCGTTATATATCTGGCACGTGGGCATAAATTTGAAATGACGCAATGAAGCATATAAATATATCTAATCTCACCCGGGTTATGCATCCGCAACTTACATATAACACTATTTTATGCAGTAAATCGAAATGACAGGGTGTGTGCTTTCTACTACGGACCTCTCATACACTGGGAAAGGCGTTATATTTTAGTATAGACTCTATACATAACTAGAGAGGATTAAGATACACAAACCTTCCACTCAAAAGCCATGAGTGTCCCGAAAACACTGGCCTCCACAACGTTTGGGAAACCAGCGAGAATGGTTAGGTAATCTGTGGTAACTTGAGATGAAAACGCTGATACCTGGGCTCGGTCGTATGTCATCGCAATGGGGCCCAAGGCCATGTCCGCTCGCTGAAACACAACATCACAACCGGCCTTGGTGTCAAACGCCCTTTTTACACCTGAATATGTTTAAAAATTGAATTTCGTGTATGCAGCTAGGATCGTTACAAAGCGCCATGATATATTTTACATTCTTCAACAGATTTTAAAAGAAGACTTCTGATTCTTTGACTATGCTCTAAAAAGGACTTATACACATGATACAATGCCATTTATCAAGACAATAATATATCATATCTATGAAAATTGTAAGTAATTATTGTCGCCGGGATTGCGAGCAGAGAAAAGTTACTTTGAAAATGAGTTAACCATAACAGTCAATCAGACGTGACCTATAGGGTGACATATTAGTTTAGCTATTTTATAACTCATATCTCCTCTATGAGTAAATTTTGAAGTACCTACACTTCGCCTCACATTAAAGGAGCTGTGCCACGATTTTAGTGTTCTGCTTAAATAATTTGGGAGTTAGTGTATCGACCTTTCTGAAGTGAACAAGAGAAAACCGCTTATGCCTGCATTTCCTAGTTTTTATGTTAAAGATTGACAAAGATTAAGGTTTTAGGAACCTCTCAACTCCTTCACCATCCTCCGAGTCACGTTAGGTGTGACGTCAAAGGAGGACGCGCGGGGTTCCGCTGAAGCTCTTTCTTTCTAGAGCCATCAGTGAACAGGGAGAACTCACCCGCTCGCGACCACGTGACCACGTGCTTGCGCAGCGCGATCAACATGGCGAAAGAAGGAAAGTGCCAACGTGCTCGTCCGCGTACGACCATCCCCGTTCAGCTCTGCCCCCGTCCCCCTACGGCTTCTGGCGGCTGTTCGCGGTAGCAAATAGAGCTGACGGTTTTGTTGACCTCGGATAGATGACGGCATTAAAACAGCCTATAATAAAATTTTTGTCAATCATACGAGGTTTTAGACACATTTATATCTCGGTTGCAACGACAACATTTATAGAAAAATTACCTTTTATCGAGCAGGTATTTACACAACTTGCTATCTTTCTACAAGTCCCCCTTTGACGTCACGTCGCGTGGTTCTCATGGCCGCCGCTCGGGGCTGCAGGTCGGGAAATATTCTAATTTTTGCCTCGCAAGTATGTGGCGAAATCGCAAGATTTCGAAGGAAGGAGATGTGTTTTCTGCCCATTTCGAGAAGATAAACAATGGCAAAGGTAGAAGATGCAAATTCTTCAAGCTTTAAAATCGTTGCACAGCTTTTTTAAGTCTGGCCGCATACGGCGGTACAATTCGATGTAATAGGTTCTTAAGGCGAAGTGCATCTCCATGGCGCTCATCATTAGAGAGTTTTAGGGAGCCGTTTTTGCACACCCGATACGGTACGATGGGACCTCCGGAACGAACTGCGCACGTGAGAATATCGTGCGGTAGCTCATGCGGAGTTTGTAGCTGAGGGCCCATCGTAAAATATCGGAGGTGCAAAAACGGTTCCCTAAGAACAGGGTGTAAGATAGACAGGTGGGAAAACGGCCCATAGAAGCCTACCGCAGCACCGTGACCGGATTGTGTACTCGTCTGCTTGCGGGTACCCCCAATTTGCGACAGATGGCGCTGCGGCGAGAGGAAAAAAATCGTAATCGGATTTACGTGGAACTCTATGGAAGAGTGCGCAAAATAGGCCGAGAGCACGACAGTCCTCCATTGAAAATCTACGAGAAACCACCTCCGTCAGTTTAGCCGGTCGCCACCGGTCGTCCACCCGGAGTGAGGGTTCGCGGTGTTCCACATAGATGGCGCCACAGAAAAAGAAAAGGCCGAGGGGTACACAATCCAGTCGCTCATTTGGCTCCCGTTTCCCCACCGGTCTATCTTACACCCTGGCTAAGACTCTCTGTTATTATTCGTTTGCTATACCCGACTTAACCAATCACGAACAGTGAAGGCGCCATTATGCTGCGCTTTCTTCTGTGCGTAACAGAATTAGCCGAAAACAACAACAAGACTCATGACGATGCATTTCTGGCACTATTTGATTGACGTCATTGGGTGGTGTAGTCGGTTGCTGACGAACTTAGTATAAAGCGTGCAATACTTGGCCCTTATCGCTATGAGCAGTGTCAATTTCGCACGCGTACGATCTTGCAAAGATTTCTTGACCTAACATTATCACCTTTCGTTATCGTGATTAAGAAACCAACTAGCTCAACCATCCGCATCTACTCAGCTTAATACATACATTTTGCTGATCTGGTTTAGTGTTTGCCGATGTAAAACTAAGATATATGCATAATGCTCGTGGTAAATTTAAAAAAAAGATGATTACAATGAGTACTTAGCTCTTCAAAGCACAACAATTAATGTCTGCTTTTAATTAGAAAGCAGCTTATTACCGAATCCCGCTATAAAAAGAAGGTAGCATGCCTAAATTGGCCGGTTTTAATAATGCACAAAACACTGTGCTTGACTTTAATATCTGTGTCTGTAAATTTTAATGGGTTGGACATTAGGTTCCCTATTGTCTAATTAAAACTAATCGCAATATAAGTGGTAATATATTCGAATATATATAAACGCTTCATTTTCTGAGAAGCCAGATATACACAGTTTGACATTGTTAGAGCGAACCATCGATTGCCGGTCATTTGTTTTGTTTTTTCTCATAATTCAAAAGCTGTCATCTCAACTACTTCTTTGGTTTTCAGCTCCTATGGGGCTCTTAACTAAGCGATCAAATGTTCTGCCCACCAATGTATTTTTCGAAGTAAACTGCAAGAACCTCAATGCTGTTTTTGCGTTAGAACTATCTCGCAATGTACCTCTATAGACAGGTCTTTTTCGCGTTGACTCCTCAGCCTCTGATGGACAAGGTGTAGCTCTTACAGGGCCGTGAACCACACTGTTAATGTATTTCTGATTCTACCTCAGAAACTACGGAGGGATCGTATGTCAAGAACTTTGACGACTTACGTAAGTAGTTATCTGAAATATAGCTGGGATTTCGCTCTGTTACCATGCAAGTCTAAAATTAGGTAATATTTCGTTTTGCCTTTCATAATTCTATAGATCGAAGTCCTTGCGACCGTGAGGTGAATAAAACTCGAGATCCTGAACTTTAAGCCTGATCAGCCCTTCTATGAACATAAACCACCAGTTCCGGCTTCACCAGTATATGCTTATAGTGAGAAAAATGTACCTAGTGAAAAATAACAGGACAGAAAAAATTAAAGCGAATACGAGCGACGTCTAGTTTGAAAAACTGTAATTTCCTCCTCCTTCGGGTTTCCAAGTTTTGTTGAGGCGAGTCGGGCTGCAGACTTCTACTAACTCTAAGTAAAAAAGACAGATTTTGTCAAACGTTTTTCTTCATCTATATTTTGTCGCTCTAATTTTTAGATCCCACAGTACATTTAGCGCTTGATGCACAAGGCTCGCTGTAGTGCAAGCACAGCTTGATTTTATAGCAAACGTCAACGCGCACGTATTTTGAGAGTGCTAAACTTCACCATGAGTCGAATCGCCTCTGAAGTATATCACAATTCCTCAAAAATTATTCTACACACGGCCCCAAAAAGGCCTTAGGGCTATCAAGCAACTCTGAAGAGGTGCCCCTGCTGACATACGACTAGAGTTGTTTAGGGTCAGTCTTACATAATGGAATAAAACAGCGCGAAGATAGAAATAGGAAGAGACACACCCGACAGGACAGAGCGCTGACTCGCAACTACGGCTTCTTTACTTAGCGAAAAAGAGAAAGACAAAGAGAAGGCAAAACGATAAAAATATACAGGAAAAGAAGAAGAAAAAATGAAGAAAAAAAGAAGAAAAAAGACATTACTGTACGCAATCACACGCGCACCTTTCACCCATGGTAGCTGACTACGGCACGTGCTGGACCCTCATTGTCAACTTCAGGAATTCCAGCTCCTTGCCTGACAACGCCACTGATGCTGCGCTGATACACTTTTTTCCTCTACTCTGGATGTGGAATGCCTCCAGCACCTCGCGTGTCACTTTGTCCCTGTGTCGTCCCAAGATGGTGGTGGCACTAAAAAACGGCTCGCACAGGCACTCTTTACAGTGAACCGATAGGTGTCCTCCCACTGTCGCTCCGAGGGAGTACCTGTGCTCGCGGAGCCTTTCATTCAGGCACCGTCCCGTTTGTCCCACGTAGGTGGAGCCGCACGAGAGGGGGATACTGTAGACTACTCCCGTGGCACATGGGACGAACGGCCTGGCGTGCTTCTTGCTACACTTGTTTCTGGCGATTCCCTCTGCCTTCGCATGAACTCTGGGGCAGATCTGGCTCATTTTTTCTGGTGCGGGGAAAACCACTGGGATTCCATATCTTTTTCCAACATTTTTTAAATTGTGAGAGATCCTGTGTAAGTACGGGATAACTACAGGTCTCTTGCGTTCCACATCCCGTTGTGTAGACTGGCTACCCTTTACTTTCTTCAGCAGTTTGCTTGCGACGTCTGAAAGTAGTGTCGTCGGATAGCCAGCTTTCCTCAGTCTTTCTGTCTGTATCCTAAAGCTCTCCCCCAGAGTGTGGAAGCAAGATTTTTTGAGCGCTGAGCTCAGACAAGATGTAACAATGCCCCTCTTCACAACCTTCGAGTGGGCCGACCTCCAGTCGAGGATGCCTTTCTTGGATCGTGGACGATAGGTCCAGCAGACACGCGAGTCTCCTATGCGCAGGGAAAGGTCTAGGTACTGGAGTACTCCTTCTTTTGGGACCTCAAAGGTAAACCTAAGGCCTCCCCCACACTTCTCGAATACCCACACTTCTCGAATTTCAGAAGATCTGGAACATTGGAAGCGTTGGTTGACACAGTGGTGGCGGTATTCCAGAAGTGTGGGGGAGGCCTTAGGTTTACCTTTGAGGTCCCAAAAGAAGGAGTACTCCAGTACCTGGACCTTTCCCTGCGCATAGGAGACTCGCGTGTCTGCTGGACCTATCGTCCACGATCCAAGAAAGGCATCCTCAACTGGAGGTCGGCCCACTCGAAGGTTATGAAGAGGGGCATCGTTACATCTTGTCTGAGCTCAGCGCTCAAAAAATCTTGCCTCCACACTCTGGGGGAGAGCTTTAGGATACAGACAGAAAGACTGAGGAAAGCTGGCAATCCGACGACACTACTTTCAGACGTCGCAAGCAAACAGCTGAAGAAAGTAAAGGGTAGCCAGTCTACACAACGGGGTGTGGAACGCAAGCGACCTGTAGTTATCCCGTACTTACACAGGATCTCTCACAATTTAAAAAAAATGTTGGAAAAAGATATGGAATCCCAGTGGTTTTCTCCGCACCAGAAAAAATGAGCCAGATCCGCCCCAGAGTTCATGCGAAGGCAGAGGGAATCGCCAGAAACAATTGTAGCAAGAAGCACGCCAGGCCGTTCGTCCCATGTGCCACGGGAGTAGTCTACAGTATCCTCCCCTCGTGCGGCTCCACCTACGTGGGACAAACGGGACGGTGCCTGAATGAAAGGCTCCGCAAGCACAGGTACTCCCTCGGAGCGACAGTGGGAGGACACCTATGGGTTCACTGTAAAGAGTGCCTGTGCGAGCCGTTTTTTAGTGCCACCACCATCTTGGGACGACACAGGGACAAAGTGACACGCGAGGTGCTGGAGGCCTTCCACATCAAGAGTAGAGGAAAAAAGTGTATCAGCGCAGCATCAGTGGCGTTGTCAGGCAAGGAGCTGGAATTCCTGAAGTTGACAATGAGGGTCCAGCACGTGCCGTAGTCAGCTACCATGGGTGAAAGGTGCGCTTGTGATTGCGTACAGTAATGTCTTTTTTCTTCTTTTTTTTCATTTTTTCTTCTTCTTTTCCTGTATATTTTTATCTTTTTTCCTTCTCTTTGTCTTTCTCTTTTTCGTTGAGTAAAGAAGCCGTAGTTGCGAGTCAGCGCTCTGTCCTGTCTGGTGTGTCTCTTCCTATTTCTATCTTCGCGCTGTTTTATTCCATTATGTACAACGATCACCATCTAGCCCAGCTTTCAACCTTAGTACAGGGTCAGTCTTCTATATCATAGGTCGTACAGTTCTTCCTTCAATTGTTTCAATAGCATTGTGGATAATGTGGGATTAATAGGGTCGATAAATGTGTGGGGACGGCTCAAAACTTCATCCCTTCCATGTGTTATCTACGTGTCTAAAAACACAAATAACGTCTGAATATTTTAAAGTGCAAAAACAGCACTCGGATCCAAGCAGAGTGTTGCAGGAAGTCGAATACAGACACTCTTCATCAAGTTCAGTTGCTCAGATGTAACTTTTTCAGCAGGGCCCAGAGATGCTGCGCAGAAATATTCCGTGCGCTGCTCATTTTTTTGTAGGTGCCGGTCTGATTGACCAGATATTTCTTAAGTAGAGAATATATTTATAATTTATTGTGCAACATTGCAATGGGCGACGATTATAGATTTGATTACGACTGCGAAACCCTACGTACGTTTTGATGAAGCATGCCGACCATTCCTGTCCAATTTCCCCCTGGCAATGCTATGCCCCATTGGCTGTCTTCCGGCGAGGAGACGGAGTACCTGTATGATAGGAAAAATGCTTCAACGCCAGGGGCCCACTTACAAATTGGCAAACTAAAAAGCTGTCTAGGCCGGCAAAATTAGATGAGGCCGGCATATTTCGGAGGGTAGCTAGAATGGCGCTGACCCTTTACAGGTTAACCTTGGTGGCAAAGCAAGAAGAAATCGAGACTCATTCTAAGCTTGTTTTGTAAAACTACTGAAATATGTGGGCATAATAATCTAAATCATGATGCAGAAAACCTTAGACTGTGCTAAAAGCAGGGAAACGGTGTCGAAGAAGAACGACAGGGGAAACAAACGTCTCAAACTCAGCTCCTACGTTTATTTCCTCAACGTCTTATATACCCACAACCTAACCACCGACCACGGACGTCACAAGGTCAACCTTTGTTATCTATACATTCCTACCCACACTGGTCTTCACCTCAACCGTAAACGGTTACCTCAACCCCAAACTGAAAGCTTAGGACCTTGAACAAAACAAACAAAACAAACACACGGATCCACTTCCTTTCCAGCCGGAGTCTGGAACGGCCGTGCTTTATCTAAATGATAACTAATATGACTTCGAACTCAACCCCTCCCCGCAAAATGACTAATTCCTCGTTCAACCTACAATTAGTACAAAAAAAAAACACAAAAAACTTTAGATTTTAAGAAACGGGTTTTCTACATCAAGATCAACATACACCAGCTCGCCTGCGCACTCAGTTTTTTTTGTTTTTTTTTTCATAATCTAAATTCTGATACATGTAGAGATGAATTAACGGATGGGACCATAAAAAATCCCCTCTTGTTTGTTATTTTACTTATATGTGTCTCAGGGTTTAGATTTTTACTTTTCATAACTAGCTCGTCTGAATATTTTTGGCTTCTTGAGATGGGGGCATCTTTTTTTTGGATGATGGGGGGGGGGGGGGGGGGGGGGGCACATTTAGAACTTGCTTCAGGCTGTCTCAGTTCTAACTTTTTTTTACATGTTTTTGTGTACGCACGTGAAGCCCATGCCATCAGAGAGTGTCTCCAGGAGGTTCGACATCGGTCCTGTCATGTTCATGTCCAGGCTGCCATCTTCGTTTTTCGAGAGTCTGAGCCGCACCCATGGAGGCCACTGTCATATATTGAAACAACAGAACCAGACTATTACCTCACCAACTTGTTTATTTAATGAAAAGATAAGTCCACACCTACGGTAAAGCCACCGCTCGTGTTCTCGTGTTCTAGTGGTGAGATTCAGAATTCGCATGTGGTGTCGATGTCAGGCGCGGAGGGAAGCAATAATTACTTTTGCTACTGACCGTCAATTAGGCTCCCGCGTTTTGGTTGAGACCTTTAAGCTTTTAGTAGCTTGCGCCTGAGCTACACTTTTAGGGTGTCATCAACACAAAAAACAGTTGTGTCCTGTGAAAGTACCTGCTTGCTTTATTTTAGAGTGCAGCTCTTAGGCGCCTGTTTCCGGCTTGAGCGGCGTCGCCGTCGCCGTCGGCGTCGGCGTAACTGTGAGGTCACGTTACCTCAGGGGGTCACGTGACCTCAGGGGGGGGGTCATATGACCTCAGGAGGGGGGGGGGGGTCATATGACCTCACGAGGGCCACGTGGTCCCCCTGAGGCCACGTGGCCCCCTGGCGGATTAGCAGGCAGGATGACGAGGTGAGGAGGAGGGAGTAGGGGTATACCCTCCCTCAGTACCCTTTCATCCTCCTCCTCAAGAGCTGCGCTCTAATTCGGCGTTACAGGGAGTTGTAAACGGCTTTCATTTTTTTCAGTAAGTGCTTACGCTTTGTTTTATAATATGTGCAAGTGTATTTAAAGCTTTAAGTCTGTGATTGGTTTGTTTCATTTTACAGTTCGCGAAATGCAACTGTAAAGTGTAACCGTTTTTCACGGACTGGCAAAATAATATGCCACGTTCGAATTGGATTGCTAAAAAAAAAAAAAACCTAAACAAAGAATAACTCCAAAAAGTACGGGAGTCTCGCATCACTAAACGTGTAAAACAATGTATAATGTTTACATAAGAGTCACACCAACGTACGGGTTATACTAACATAAAGTTTCTGAAATGTTTACGCCATTTGTCTAGAACACAAACATCAAGGATTAGGGTCACATGCACCTACATTACAATATACCAATAAATACATAACTTATTGGGGAGGTTTCTAGAACAAATAGCTCATTTCAAACAATTATCATTCTAAGAAAGTGAGAATTAACAGTATGACTCATATAATTTTTTACAACAAATTTTTGGAGGCTACTTACATTGAGTGCAGAGACTCTGACGTGCGTTAAAGAAAATGATTTCTCTTGGGTGGCAGCATGGCAGAGAAACAAAAAATAGCGGTTTTGAAATTACAACTTTAGGCATTCTACAAGAAAAAGTGCACGTTAGGAAAAAGTATATTATGGTAGTTGCTATACTAACAGAATTTGCTCTAAGGCAATTAATAATTCTACAACCGTACACACTGTAGTCACTGAATGGAACGTGAAGTAGTCCTTAATACAGCCCACAAGTAAAACAAACAAGTAAGTTATATCAATTATTTCTTAAATTTATGTTTTTTAGGGACCCGACCAAATCTGTGGTAAATTAGTCTAATTTTGTAATATTTCTATTAATAATGAACGATTATATCTCAACGAGTTTTACGTTTAGATATGGCAAATCGTTTTCTACGCTTTAGGGTCCCGGTACTAAAACACCAGATATGAAAGGAAGCTAAATCGGTAATTGTGCTTACATCACTAACGTTGGCAATCAGATAGTTGCACGTTAACGTACATATAAAACCATATACAGGCGAACAAAGTGACCAAGTTTTAGACAATGCCGTCGACTACCTTTATCGGTTAAGTATGTACGACGTTGGCAGCTGCGTCATTCGCTGAACTTCAACATAATTTATCTTTCCACTGCTGTTTCGCGCCTTCCTTGCGAATTCTGTTAGGTGGCACCATTTCAATTATGCCGTTTGTTATCAATGATGATTAAGCTACTGATTGAAGTCAGAGTTCATGCCAGTCTATGAATTTGAAATAAGTCTACCTAAAAGTATACACGCGACCTTCGCGTGTACACTTTTAAGCGGGGTTCAAAGCTCAATGGCAATATTAAATTCAGCTCAGTTTTATTTGACCCACAAGAAGAAAAGCGATGGGGAGATGTTACTTACCGCTGCGGTTCATCACGAGGAATGAATGTGCGAACCTAACTCAGAAACGTTTCCGTTTCCTTGCGGTTTGTTCGATAAAATGACGTATTCCTAAGAAAGCTGATCGGGAGACGGTCAACCAAACTCATAATTTATGCACCGGCTGCTTTAGACCGTACAGGCTTCAGCCACGTGTATGACCGCAATAGCGTTGACTTTCGATTGCGAGACAATTGATAAAAAAGAATATAATGATGGCTTCTCTACTTTTATCGAGCAACTAAGTACCTCGAGAGAAAGGCATTGAATGATAGAGATATATATTAGGCATCTGAAGGAACTCAATATTCTTCTTACCAGAATGACGTGAGCTCAACACCACGGCCGTTTCACTTTTTTTTATTCTCACCTGTGACGTAAACTCAAACACATTTGGCAAAATTACTTTCAAAAATAGAATATCATCACTAATTATTTTTTTTGGAAACTGCGGAAATGTAAATAAATTAGGTTATAAATTACGGCCCATTGGAAGTAATTACATTACACTACAATTACTATTCAAAAACATTCAAATTACATTGAGATTGCTTTGCAATATCTTGGGGCTGTAATTCGTGTTAATTTTATTTACAGTATATGTACAAAAACTCAGATCTTTCTGCTTACACCGCAAAAGCCTTATGCGATTCAAAGTGAACCATACTGCACAGTCGTTTAGCTGGCGCACAGGACGTAACTGTTAAATATGATAAATTGCTTTTTCTTTAGATGTGTCGGACAATCGTCTAACCGCTTTCGCTCTACATTCCACGGTGAAGGTCCGTAGTTAAAGGGTGATGTGTTTTCCTTCGCCTGATTTAGAAAAAAAGTTCTATTCCGTGTAAGTATGTTAAGTGGGACCATGTGAACTCGTTCTCACAAGGAGTCGTCAAGTGAGACTTTTTTCCTGCTTTGCGGTTCCCCTCCCATCTGGCGGAATCTACATCTAATCACATTCTCCTAAGCGTACTAGTGATGTATTTCCGGATATTCCTCTCAAGCCGCATTTTTCCAAAATACCCGAAAAGCATAAGTTATTGCGCGTTGTAACACAAGGGGTGTTTGATATTTGCTAGGCAGAAGTGTCGCCAGTTAAAGAAAGGGATAACGCGAGATTCCTAACATGTGTACTTTCTCAACTGACGGGTGGCAATGTCTGCTCGTAGGCTTATTCCCGAATAATCTTCCCAGGGAAAGGCAGGGAGATATACAGCAAGCGGCACCTGCTTTGCTCTATTCTGGTCTTTGCCAACTATAAAAAGCACCTTTACTTAACAAGGACAATGATACGATTTATTCCAGTCGCTTGTTCGCAATTGTCAAAGCTTACGGTTCGACCTCGCTTGGTGAAGGAGCAAGAAGGCTGGGGATCTGTTAATCCCGTCCTCTCAACTTTTAAAATATGTTGACCTCACTGGTGATGTTCCCTTCGCATTGTAGCCTATAAGCCGTTCATCTCTAAGCTGAAAGTGCGCGGCAAGCTACGTGCTCGTTAAAACAGTCACACGTCTGCTTTTCGCCACGTAACAACGTTCTCGTTCGAGCCTACGCGCAGAGAAAGGCACGGGTCAGGTGATCAAATGAGGGCGGTTGATTAGTTTTGGAGAGCTATTAGCTGCCAATGCACTGTCAGCTTAGGAATGAACGAAGTATAGTACCGCCATGATGACGTGACGCTGTGAACCTGTCTTGCCTTGTGCTCGTGAGCCGTGACATACCAGCGATGTCTTTGCACGAAAGCTTTTCTTCTTCGCCTTTCCAACCAGTTTTTGTCCCTCTGTCGAGTTCTTTGTACGAGGCTTTGGGCTCAGGCAGCCGTCGTTTATTTGCTCTGATATCTCGCTCACAACATTTCCTCATTCAAAATATATTTCTTTTTTTCAGGTTGCAAACGAACTACTTTATTTGGGACAAAAGTTATTTCAAAAGTAATGAGTTATTTTCTTCAAATTACTGCCTGGAAGTAATTCATCACATGAATAAATTACCAGCCTAGAAAACTAATTCATGTCGTTACTCGTTACCACAAAAACTAATTAACCTACTGTAATTTCGTTACAGTAATGTCATTACTGCCATCTCTGAACCCAATATCATCCGTTTTTCCCGCTCGCTAACCGTTAAGGCAACGTCTTTCCCGTCGAACAAATGCGCAAAAACCCAAGCTATCCAAACCAGACTATTGCAAGAGTCGTTATCAGTTAATCTGTATTGTATGCTTACCCCGTAATATTCTTCTTCAGAACACTGTAAGAGAAACCTGTGTCTTCGCATTTCTGTACAACTTTGGCTCTAAATTCGCCGAGCATGCAGTTTGAGCCGTTACTTCGCGGAGAGTGCCGATTGAACTTAGGCAACAAAAGCCCATCTTCAACTCCGCGAGAATTCAATCGGCTCGCTCCGTCAACTCCAAACCCATGCAATTTTAAGGGTGACGATTCCAAGGCCTTCGGCAGATAGCCTATCACCAGGAACAATGGGAAGGTCGCGGCAAACTACAAAGCTCAGATACAATTAGCCTCGCTTCGATTTTCGCCGGGATAGCAGGAAAGTGAAACGTGGTGCTCATTTCTGCTGCACATATATTACATTTTTCGGATCACGTTCCCATTGCAGAAAAAGCCGTTATCTTCTCTCTCCGCGTGGAATGGTTTAGAGACATTGCTAGGATTTATCCTAGCAATGTCCTTAAACAATTGCTAGCAGACATCGCTAGGATTTATCCTAGCAATATCCTTAAACCTGGGAAAAGCGACGGTGGCGGGCCAGGTCGGTGCTGGGGAAGCCTTCGCAAGTGTGTGTGTGTGTGTGTGTGTGTGCTTGCGTGTGTGTGTGTGCATATGTGTGTGTGTGTGCGTGTGCGCGTGCCCGTGTCCGTGCGCGTGCGAACACGCACGCGCACGCGCACACGCACATTTGGGAAGGCTTCCCGAGCACCGACCTGGTGCTGGGGAAGCATTGAGTTAGAAGAAATGCCTTCTAACTTAACCTTGATTTCCACTCATTCCCCATTGTTTTTCGAGACATAACCTGTTATCGTTCCGCCCTAGTCACGCCCGCCATCGGTCGGGGCAGAAGTTTCCGCAATGTGGCTCGTTCCAAGCGATGCCTAGAGAAATTAATCGAAATATTTCGTCAGCAAGCTTTCGTGCGGTGCCCAGAAATATGAATACAATTATTTTGTCAGCCAGGTACTAATATTAAAGAACTAAATTGAAATGGTAGCATGATGAACATCTAACCGGCGAAGCATAACACCCTAATAAGCAGCGGACGCGCCGTAAAATTAAGAATTCATTGGCAATATCAGCCACATCACCGATGAAAACAAGTTCACTTCTCACTTTGAGTGGGCTTCACGGTCTTTGGACATTGATATGACCAAGTACGGATACTGTGGTATGCGTCGATCGTGGACCACTAATCGTTAAGACAGAAACGCCCCAGCGGTAATTTATGCGACCGCAACCTGGTTACAAATTGTTTTTAAACAAAATAGTGCGACATGTTTTTGCAGATTTGTAATTACTTGGCATCTAGGGCCCATCGGGTAAAAATTAAAAACATATCGAAAACGATCTTTTTGTTTCAATTGCCACACAAATATCACACACTTTTGACTTTTTCGAATTATACGAGATTTCCGGGTGCAGTGCAGAAAACACTTTCAACAGTAGAACGCTTATTAATTTGTTGAAAGTTTGCAAACCATGAAACACTCGACACAAAACGTTAAGCTTCAGAATATAAATTTAAAGCATCTTAAATATTCGTCGAAAAATGCTTCATTGTGTAAGCTTTCCTCCAGAAGCCAAGTTTAGCATTTTATTTCGCTTGATATATATGCTATTATAAATGAACTATAAGTTATTCTCGCAGAAAAGTATGCGTACATTAAACGCAAAATATTTGTCGATGTAGAAAGTTGCATTTTTAATTCCTCCGGCCGTCAATTTTGCGCCAACGCGGATTTGGGAAAATTGTTTTTTCAACCTCTCCTTGAATGCGATTTTTCCCACAAATACAAGCAAGTATCCTGAAAAAGTAAAGTATGTCCCGTTGTGTGGATAGGTTTCGCTACCTTATATGAAAATTTAATAGAAAACAAAAATAGACTTGACACCATCATGACCGCCCTTATCTGAACACACCCATAAACTAGAAAAGCAATTAGAATAATTTGAAGAAGCATTCGTTGGGTAAAATAGTTCGTTGTTGGGCGAGTTGGTGAACGTTGTTTCTCTCTCTTGTGTCCGTCTTTTTTTGCGCAAAATCATGTATCCATTCGTTGGGCAGTTACTCCGGATTTTGTAAAGCCGTGGTTCTGAAGTCACATGACATCAACATGTGACGTTGTTTTGTCCGCTAAGTTTAGCGGGAAAAATTACGTCACATGGCTTCATGGCACGTGACTATAGTTCGTTGCAACACAATAGGGCGGGGGTAAGACGGGCCTGAAAGGAGGAAGTGACGGAGCACTGGAGAAGAGAGGGGGAAACCTCCTTCTCTCTTTAGCTTTCCGTCTGGTTCCTCCTCCCCGGCCCGTCTTACCCTCGCTCTACCTTCTTGAGTTGCAACGGACAATAATCCACAATAGCAGAAAAATTTGCGTCACATTACATGGTCACTTGATCTATGCTCCAATTCAATTGCCCGCTGGATTTAGCGGGAAAATTGAGGTCACGTGTTCTCAACATCAATTCAGTCTCCTCACTAATTTTTGCGGGGAAAATGACGTCACATCACTTCGTGTCACGTGACCTCTTTCACAAATACAGTTTCCCCGCTAGATTTAGCAGGAAAATTGTCGTCACGTGACCTCAGCCGTAATTTAGTTTTTCCGCTAAATTTAGGGAGTAAAATGATATCCCATATGACTTCATGTCCCTTTACCCATACACAAATTCAATTTCGCCGCGAAATTTAGCGAAAAAATTGACGTCATGGGACATTTAGCGAGAAAATTGTCGTCACGTGACCTGCCCATAAGTCCAGTTTATCCGCTGCATGTCCTTTCCCATACTCTGTGGACAGAAGCCAACCCGACGGGTAAAGTACATGGCTGAATGAGTCGATGAGTCAATGGGGCGGAGAGAAGGGGAGCGACTGGGAGGCTCAGCGCGAGAAGAAACGCATTGAGGTTACTAGCGTTTGAGATGCTAGAACATTTCACGTATCCAACACAATAGACCGATCCCACTGCTAGTTTGAGTACGCCACCGCTGCCGACATGCATCGTGGGAGCTGTAGTCTTTCTGCGCGCGCGACAACCCTGCTTGACGAGACGGCATGAGCTGTCTCGTGAACTGGCGTCTGCCTCCTAGGAACTACAGTTATGGCGGCGTTACGCATGCCTGGAACGCTTGGTGAGATCGCTCTATTGCCCGGCAATTTGATTTCTTTAATTTTCAATTGCACTAAATGTAAATTTGAAGGATGTGATATACAAAGGCTAACGTGTTCTGGTAAAAAAAAGAAAACAAATGTTGAGTTATTAACGCGTCCGCATTGGTACCCGAATAAGAGGAAAAAGCTGATGCCGTCCGTCTGCGGATAAGACGGTGGAAACGGACGCGTGCCGTGTAGGGAGGATGCGCGTCTTGGTAAGACAAAGGCGAGAGGGAGTTGACGTCACGGGGTGGAATCCGATGCGCGCGCTGATGCTGGGGTTCGTCTGAACTTGCAGGCGAACGAGACAGAGGAGCCAAAGCAGCGCCTAGCTCGGCTGGCCGAAATGAGGCGCTAGGAGCGCCAGGCCGACACGGATCTGCGTGCGACAGACGCTGAGGCGAAAAGAGCTCGCCGAGCTCGCGTCGCCAAAAAAAAAAATATATATATATTCAAGGAAGACTCCTTGGTGAATCCTTAGGGAATACGTTAGCATGACCCTTGGGAAACGCCATACACGTACCTCTTTGAGAGACGCTAACACTGGCCCCGTAACGAAGCCAAAAAGAAACAGCAAAAAATACAGGAAGCCAAAGAGAAAGCCAGAATAGAAAAGAGATGGGGTCATCGTTAACTTTTCACAAAGGCCGTGCTAACTAATTCCCTAAGGATCCACCAATGGACATTTATTTTTGCATAACTGCGCCGCATATAAACCTCGCACTATGCGGGAGCTCCTAGTGCGTTACTCAGGGCAGAAAAAATGCAGTCCGTAGCTAGCGCTTATTGTTCCATTTTTCGTCACACACCTGAAACTTGAGAACATGCGCCCCACAGATGTCGAAAGCCTCGCGTGTTTTTGGTTTTCAGTGACAGATGTTGTATCGATAGAATATTTCTTGACAAAGAAATAAAAAAAAATCCTGAAATAAAAATAAAGGATGCCGGTGGAAGATGTGTGTCGCTGCTTTTTTTATTTTATCTGAGGGTAATATTTATTTAATTCTCATAAACGTTTTCAAACTCCAAATATATTGGTGCGTTTTGTGACGTCTCAAGACATTTACTTTATATCAACTTCATTTTCAGAAATTGACATCTATATTAATAATCGAAACATCTTCGAGCAGGATCGACTCTCTATGTTGAGTACCGCTGATATCTGAATGTTATCCTGATTAGATCCCATTTAAAAACGGGTATATATTTTCATGGTAGCCTAAACATTGACGCCTTTGTACCAGCCCTTTTTATGATGTGTTTGTGCTTATACAACTGTATCTTGCATATTTATGTAACAACTCTTTAAAAAAACAGGGCGGGTTATGCTTTTCTGTCTTTTAAAGCATGAATTAATGAGGGCACTCCTAACGTGAAGCAAAAACATTAGAGAAATATGCGTACTTTTATATCTGCCCTGCCTATGTACGGTAATATCTTTGGTAAACGGAACTACACCGCTCATGTGCACGGTAATATCTTTGAGCAACGACAGGCTCCATCCATTATCAAAGAACACATATTCAAGCAGGCGTGGCGGCGGCTCAAGTAACATGTTGATAATTTGGAAATGCAACGTTATCGTAGCATCTTTAATTTCACTAAATATAATAAGAGAATATACCGTATAATGAAGGACAATTCGTCTTAGTAATTAGGATGAGTCAAATCTTGTTCATCTATATTATTAAATTAGAGAATGATATTTCAACAATGTGGTCTAAATACACTGTTTAATAAAAAAAAACTTTGGCATGCACTTGCTATTTAACAATATCTATAACGCAGCAAACGTTATTGTTCCTCGACGAGATCATATAAATTCTTCTTCGCATAACAATAGAGTATTATTATGTTTAATGTTCAATACATATTATAACTTTTGGGGTCCTACGAAAACTAATACGGTACCTTAGGATTCACGGCAGTCCTACACACAAATGATAGTAGGCGCGTAGTGACGAGGAAGGTTGTACTAAAAACAGAGAAACACTCAAGAGTAACAAGCGGTGTATTTTATTTCCATTCGAAATTCTACACGTAATAAAAAATTAGCGCCATGAAAGTAAGGACGAGAGCGCCAAAATATAGAAGCTCGGGTTCTTTACTCTAGAGGCCTTCTAACTTAAAACAATCTATGATTAAGACAGATAGCTCCTGGTGACATATTTATCGTACATTTTGAAGCAAACAATACTTGAAACATGGATGGTCCACCACGTGTATAAAAACATGCGGGTGCTACATCGAGGTTAATTGTCTATCGGAGCAACTACAGCTAAAGTAGATTTGAGCTTCTAAACAAGAAAAAACGGTTTTCTGTTTTTGTCTTGTTAGTCTCAAAAAAAAAAATGATAACACCGCAGGGTAGTTAAACCTACAAAATACATGGACTACGTCTATAAAAGTATTGATCTATATTCCTCCATACGTTTATTATTACTTCGGAACCGTCGAAATATGAGGAATTATGGGCTGCGGAAGCGCCCTCTTGGTAGATTGTTGCGATCATCCTGACGTCGCCGGGAATCGGCGCCTTTGAAAGTGGTCGTCTTGTTGTTCTCTTGACTGATACAATCTGCGATAATATGGATCTTAACAACCCTGACGGGCTTCTTGTCGCGCTTCAAATTTCCTGAAAAACAAGTGAAATCAAAACAATCTTTTACTTAATTGAAACACTAAAACGATTAATCTTTGAGGTACCTACCTTTCACGTTAGGTTTATTTTATTTTATTTTATAGCGGAAGAGTCGTCGATACTTGCGCATGTGCTATGGCATTAGAAGCTTCAGGTATTAGGTGCGCCATCTCACGCGCAGGTATCGCCGATCTTTGGAAGTGTGGTCCACGCTTTGTTACGCTACGCCGAATTCTCAGTTTAAGTTTGGTCCCATTTTGCGCTTGACACTCGTCAAGCGCATAATTGGGACCGAAATTGAAAGAGTGAGCCGACTGGACTCTCGTGACGATTACGCCGCACTTCTGTTGCCCAGGTGCAATATGCGCGCTCCGCCAACTTTTGGCTTCAACTTTTTTTCGTTTGTCGAGTCTACAGCCCCCGATCGTAATATCGAATATTTTCTGTGAATCTAATTAGCTCAGCCGCGGTAGCAGAAAGACCCGTAATTCCTCAGTCCATGCCATTTTCGAGCTGTTATAGATCTTTCCAACGCTTATCAACCAGGGCGAAAAATACTGAATCACTGAGCTGTGGGCGCATGCGCAGCAGAGCAACGGCGCATGTTCACGAGGCGTTATACAGCCCAGCAGACAAAGATGGCGGTGCGCAGACGGCGATTCTTTTAGAAGTCTGTACTCAGTTTCGCAGTATGATTAAATTACAAATAGCGCTAGGACGAGGACAGACGAAGAAGTGGACAGGACAGTCTGTCCTCGTCCTAGTGCTATTTGTAATTTAATTATGTGTAACCAACTAGCCCGCCAGAATGTTTTAATTCGCAGTATGTCCGAGAGCAACACTCCACGCGACGATCCGATGAAGGCAATCAAGCCGAGTCGAAACTGCGTCGTCACAACGCTCGACGTCGTGGTGCATTTCTAAAAAAACTGGGGGCATCCATCACGCACAAAAGGAAGCGCAGCATTCCGGTGCATTCACTCTGTAGGATTCATTTAGCCCGTGATATAGCAACACTCCCAATGGCCACGAGCGCCGTGACGTCATACACTCGGAAATGATTTCCTTCATCAGGAATCGTAGAGTCGGCAGCAGTCCGACTTAGAGACTTGACACACTGAAAAATCTGGTGCGTTAACTTTCCTGGAAGGCACTCAATAGACCCAAGTCTACACCACCGAGATAAGCAGAAGGCCTCCGCACCGTCGTCATAGTGAAATCGATCGACGCCTGAGATTGGGCACGAGTGCTGCGTCAGTGTTCGGCCGGTGCTGGTGCTCAATCAGAGCGTCAAAGGTCGGACTCGGTCCCAACAGCGGAGTTAGCGCGATCCGACTCTGATGACGTTTCATGAAGGGAGAGGAGGTGGTGCGGAGGGTTTGATTATTCTAGGTAGCTTTGCTTAAGTGCTGCAGTCTACGAAAGGAAATTTGCGAAGTACAAAGCATAAAATATGTCCAGACCAAAAAAAAAAAAAGTGACTGCGCAGTGGCATTGAACATAGTGAAACATCGCGCTCAGAACCGAAGCGCGCTCAATGTTTTAAGGTCTACGCATATTCCCGTCCTCGTCATTCTCCAAGCTTCCAGAGTAGATTGCAGTGATTGGCACTTCGAAATACAGGGCGGGATACTGGACGCTCCAGATTAATGTACAAACCTCAACGCGGAGGCCTGAGTGGGCACCTTCTGTCGTTACTCGGGTAAATTCCTAAATTCTTCACTTTATGCTCTTGGTTTTTGAAACAAATATACACTATCGGTGAAAGAAATACAAACAATCCTTGAACTTGAAAGATGGGGGTAACAGCGTTAACTATTTGGAGAAATACCTCGTTATCTTGCATTTATTTGAGAAAAAAATGTCAGTTACATAGAAAACTTTAAGAGCACCTGCGGCACATACATTTAGAACGCAACCGTAGATTGCCTAGAGTTCAGTTAATACATGCAAAGCTTTGGCATACATACCTCCAAAGACAACTTCCAGAAGAATCGCAGCTACAGAAATCGCAGTAAACATGAGGTAGACATAGAAGACGGACTGCACTTCAAATATCGACAGGGGAGTGAAGGTTTCGTCGTGGTGGACCGAAGAACCAGGTGTCCAGTGTCCGTACTCCTTGTTTATCCATGCCTGGAACAAGCCACTTTCCACGACCCAGTTGATTCTGTTTGAATAGTTTTTTTTTTTTAGTTGTTTGAATGGACACACATTTACACAATCGGATAACATTTATTACACTCATTTTCTGCACCTTTATATTATCCTATAAAATGGTCGAGAAAGACCTGCTTATTCAAGTATTGAGGGAGGATCAAAAACAAGAGAGAGCGAAGGTATCAAATTCTTGCTGCTATAGTTCAAGTTTGGAATATAACATTGTGGCTTCATCTGGCAACCAAACGAAATTTGGCAAAGGGCAGGGGAGACAAAGACAGTATCAAACCATACCGAAAAATCACAGTAACTTCAGTAATATACAGGCTAGCTAAGCAAATTGTAAAAAGAAGAATGGAAGAATGGGCAGAGAGAAAGCAGATCCTAGGGGAGCTTCAAAACGGTTTCAGGAAAGATAGACGACTAGATGATAATTTATTCGTAATCACTCAGCGCATAGAGATAGCAGTGACAAGTCAAAGGCCATTATGGGTAGCATTTTTAGACATCAAAGGGGCATATGACAATGCGAATCAGGAAAAGCTCTGGAACCAACTCAGGGGATAAGGGCTAGAGGGAACCATGGTTACGTTTCTAGAACGGGTTTATACAGAGAATGGGGTGGTTATAACATGGGAAGCCGAAACTACAAGACCAGCAGCAATAAAAGTAGGTCTTAGACAGGGTTGCCCATTGTCTCCCCTGCTCTTTATGATATACCTCAGTGAGATGGAAAAAAAGTTTACAACGGTGCAACCTAGGTTTTGACCTGACTTACATGGAGGAAGGACATGAAGTAAATCAAGTATTGCCAGGGTTAATGTATGCAGACGACATTGTACTCGTATCAGAAAGTCGTGAGACAATACAGGAACTGATTAAAATTTGCAGCAGGGAAGGGGACAATTTAGGACTAAAATTTAGTAGGGACAAGTCTGGTATAATAGTTTTCAACGACGAGAAGGGGGAGCCCCTGGAGATACAGGACACATTAATAGAACAGGTAGAAAAGTACAAATATCTGGGAGTATGGTTAAGTGAAGGAAGACGGTATCTAAAAGACCATGAAGATATTGTAATAAAGAAGGGGAAACGAGATTCGGCTATCATGAAACACAAGGCACTAGGTAACTATAATAGATATGAAGTTGTTAGGGGTGTATGGAAGGGAGTCATGGTGCCAGGACTGTCATTTGGGAATGCGGTATTGTGTATGAGGTCAGAAATTCAGGCAGGTTTAGAGATACCGCAAAGGAGTGTGGGTAGGTTGGCATTAGGGGCACATGGGAATACACCAAATGAGGGAGCACAGGGGGATATAGGTAAGGTGTGTATTTTCCGGTTTTAACCGAAAAACACCGATAAAAATCCGTCGGTGACAAAAATGCAAAATCGGTTAAAACCGAAAAACATCGGTGGTTGGATATTTTCTCCCCGGTTAAAAACGAAAAACACCGGTCGTTGCACGTTTCCGACCTAGCGAAACCCTTTCCCCGTAGAGGTTCGTCAAACGTGTTATCTCGTGGATCCAGCATTCTTCCAGTGTCGATAGATGGCTTGCACGTGGCGTCAGTCCGCCCTCCTTTCTGGGGGTCAAAAGCGTCTGCTGAACGCAGTGAAAGCTAAGCTCTCACACGCCTTTCCCCCATTGTGTCGCCCATGGCCCCCTTTTGTGGAAAAATTAACGCAGCGTAGGGTACGCTCTCACGTGCCTTTTCCCCATTGTGTCTGGCCAAGTAATGTCGGTGCAAGCCATGTATTCAGAGGTTGCCGTGGTTCCTGGAAGACACTACCAACATCCGTGTCGGAAAGGGCTACCGACCTCTCAGAACTGAGATGCGTTCCTTGTTATCTGTTTAGTTTCCATGGGCTTTTGGGGAAACGGTAAGAGGGTTTTGTTGGCGGGGGAGTTTTTCGGCTGTATATAAAATACCCGTTCTGTAAGAAAATTTGTAGACGTGTTTGAGAAGGCGCGTCCATCCCGCGTCTGCGGGTTTTCTCAACCTGAGACTTGCTTCCCTTCGTCGTCACGCGGAATAGACGGCCACCATGATGGGAAGTAAGCGGAAAGCTCAGAGTGACTACGCTACAGATTTCATGGATGAATCGTCGTTCTGGTTCCGCTTGCCCATCGTTAATTCGTGCATAAGCGTGGAGGTTGGAGCTGCCAGAGGGATTTGTGCCTTATGAAAGTATCTATCGGCTGGTCCTCCGAGACGAGAGCTAGCTGAGTGGCCTAGAATCAGAGTTTCTTTGTTACCGCCAGTATGCTGTGACTAGCACCGTTGATCCAGTGTTATTTTGGAAACTTCATTTACCTGACTGGCCACTACTGTCCCAAGCCTGACTGGACATTTTGGGATTTCCTGTGTCCAGCGAAAATGTGGAGCGTGTGTTTTCAAAATTGCGGGTTGTGAACCGCAAGGAACGTGCTGCCATGACGAATGCAAGCCTCTCGAAGTATGCTTGCATCCACTATAATAACCAAGTGTGAGAAATATATGCTTTCTCGCGAAGTGTATGAAATATGTGAATAACATTAGAATCTCTGTCTGTGATCAATCGCATTTTTTTTTACCGATAATCACCGATTTTAGCCTCGTCATGAGACGTTCCACCGAAATACACCGGTGTTTCGAAAATAAATAAACACCGAAAAACATCCGCCGATTTTTCTCACAAATAAAAACCGGAAAGTACACACCCTAGATATAGGTTGGGCATCTTTCGAGAGTAGAGAAGCGATCAGTAAATTAAAATTTGAACAAAGACTAGCTGAAATTGAGGATACACGGTGGGCAGCGAAAGTGTACAAGTATCTATATATGAAAAGTTTAAACACTAGGTGGACAAACCGAACCCGCAAGCTGAGATTTAAATACATTCAACGAGATGGAGCCGATCAGAGCATATCAGTAGAAAAGGGAGTAAAGGAAACAGAGAGGAAATTGTGGGAAGAGAGAATGCAGGGGAAATCAGCTTTAGCAATATACAGTGCACAAAAATAAGAAATAAAGAAGGAACAGATATATGATAATTCAGTGGGGAGCTCTTTGTTGTTTGAGGCTAGAAAGGGGGTGCTGCGGACGAAAACGTATAGGGCTAAATTTCAGAAAGTAGACACTCTGTGTGACGTATGCAACCGCGAAAGGGAAACTATAGAACATGTGATTTTAAGGTGCACGGGGCTTCGTCCCACCCTCTTGGGGGGCATGACTACGGATTTGGAGGGGTCACTGGGTTTTCCGGACATGGATGGACGAATGGATAGGGAAAGAATTGCGGTAACTAAGAGGAGATTGGAAGATTGGTGGAAGATATCTAGGGAAGGATAAAAAAATACATATAAAAATAGGCAATAAATTCAATTTAAAAGAGAGGGGGTCTGTTATAACAAAATGCACACAAATTAAAAAAAAAATAGTAGAAGGGATGACAAAATATTAGGCTAGGTGGCGCAAGCTGCCGCCCGTTACAAAGGGTATAGCCATTACCATCCATCCATCCATCCGACGATTGAAGTTTATGAAATCAGCGATTAAAAATTAAAAACGCAAACATTTCTTTTCACACCCCACTGAAAAAAAAAAGTGGCATCCTTATGAAATAAACGGGTTCATAACGGTAGCCGTTTAGCCATACCGGTCACCAGTTTGTCAAAGGGGTCGCTTGCATGGCTCAAAAGGTTCCCCGTATGAGCCATAATGGTCACCTATTTAGGCAAACAGGTCACTCCTTTACAGTGGCGTAGTCAGGATTGTATTTCGGGAGAGGTTCAAAGGCATTATTGCCCCCCTTCCCCCCCCTCCCCCCCCCCCCCCCTATGACGGAGTAGGGTGAACTTGGCGCTACGGACGCTCACGCAAAGATTAGGGAGGCGCTGTTAAGATAAGACAGGCGAAGCTGCATCGTTATTTTTTTTTTTTTTTTAAATGGAGCAGTCTTTATTTAGGCTCCCTGTTCTACTGTCGTCTTAGTTGCGACCCACCAACTTTAAAAGCTTCTTCACAGCACACAGGTTTGGCATTTGGGGGGGTGTTTGACCCCCCCCCCCCTTCCTCCCCCCCCCTCTCCCTTGCCTACGCCACTGCTCCTTTGGCAAACGGGTCACTCGTCTGGGCAAATGGGCCACTCGATTGGGCAAAGTTGTCGCACGTGTGCTTAAACCGGTGACCATGTTGCACAGACGGGTGAACGGCGGCCGGCAAACTGTACCGGTTTAATCAAACGGCTCTCTGGAGCCCGATTGATACTGAACGTCCAGATCGGCGGCATCAGCACGCCTATTTAAGACGCGTGGCAGCCTGGCTCCGGAAAGCAGGAGCTCCGGTTCATCGATTTACAATTGTCCGCATAATTCAATATTCATACTTTGGTTTCGCTGGTGTTCGCTTATGCAGCAACTGCAATAAGCACTTTTTTTATTATTACCATTTATTTTTTATTTTCTTTACTTAAACGTGCGACTTAATCAGCCGATATTTTTGACAAAGCTTTAAACCTTTGTCCATCTTTGTTGCCTCAATTTACTTATTTAGCTCAAATCTTTCTCGCAGAAGACGCGACCGCGTGACCTTTCTCATCGCTATTTCTACATTCTCCGGCCAAACCTCAGCGCCATCTAGGAGAGAGCGCGGACATGAAGGGACCGAGTGAGTCCACCTTAATCAAGTCGTATGCGTACTTCATCCCTGTCATTCTTTTCAGATTTACTAACAGTGTACGTAGCTAAAATTGAACAGCCATAATTATACGAAAACGAGTTCGTGCGAAAATTGTAATTTGATTGAATATGAGGGACGCGCGAAGTTATAAAAAGCGAGCAAGGCGACCATTTTTGTGCCAGCGATGTATCAGTAATGTAACCCACTAGCATTGACTGTAATTATTGTTAATCCTGAGATTGGTATTCGGGTGAACGCGTCCCTTGTGAATCCAAAGAAATGTTTTGAAAAACGCCTTAAATAAAACCTTTCTGTCCTTCCCCAGAATAACATATCCAAAAGTAAGCCTGAAGTGCGAGAGAAAAACCATATTTACCCAATGAATGGTGACGATTTAGTAATGAATTAGTAGTGCTTTTTCTATAGTAAGCACGCATACTTAACGCAACTAAAATATTGCGGTCGACATGGCTAAATTTTTACCCATCTTAGTATTTCCAAACAAACCACTAACCTTTGAAGTCCAAAATGAAGACATAGAAAATCTTAATCTCGCTAGGGAAACAATACGTCAATTTTTCTTTTTGTTTACCCACATGTCAGTAGTAGAGTCTGCCCTCGAGTTTTTACTTAACTCGCAAAGTTCGGAGCCAGAATCAATCAGAGAATAAAGCTTTGGGGCGTATAGCACACATACCTTTTGTTGAGAAAGTCCAAAAAACTGCTGTTTGTGCCTTTCCTCAGGGCGATCGCGAATTTGTGTGGGAAAAATTGCTCTTTTGCAAAGTAGAAGCTGGCATTGCGAAACAGGCGGGAGGCGCGTGACACATGGTAGCGCATGGTCGTTATTTCACCCACAATCACCGCCTTGCCTTGTAACACCGAACGTAGGTTGTCAACGGAATAAAGAGAATTGGTTTCGTAGGTGCCGTTGGAGCGCACCACCATCTTCCATACTGCTTGATACTCTTCGACATCCTTGGAATTCTGTCGAAAAAGAATGTGGCAGAATGTACATTAGATATTAAAATGGCAGCGAATCTTAAGTTAGACCAACTGAGTCCTCGATATTTACTTATACGTTTAATGCGTGATGATTTTGGTTAACTAGAGAGCTGGAAAGTGTGGCCGCAGCTTGGAATACTCTTTTTTTTATAATTAAGACTACTGATGTGTATATGTTTTAAAAGATGAAATGCTTTCGAACGCAACCCTCGCCCAATCCTAAAATTGTGTCCGTCTGTACGTCCGTTAATCTTCCGTGAATTTTCCTCTAAATGTTGCTGGCGGTTTCCTCCATTCCTCTCTTCCCCCTTTCTTCCCTTCCAAATCGCCTTCCTTTAGCACCTACAGTGTCCTCTCCAACGCCGCCCTCACTGGTACCATAACACGCCAATATATTTTCGCAAACAAATTTATAAAAAAGCAGGTCCTTGACTGCCGGAACGACCGTTTAGAGAATTAAAAATAATTAAAACAATCGTTCCTAAATACTTCAATTCACGCATTGTATAGCCTTTGTAGAGGAAGTTCGCGGCCTATTTTCTCTCCAGATAAGTTGAGTGTGGGATGAACTAGATCAGCGTCATCTGCTTCAAAATATCAGATCCCATGTATGAAAGGCTACTGAGGGCAAGCAAAGGTCACCGTGCTAAACCTCGTCTATCCGCTACTGGCTATTAGAGACTAATAATTTTACATGCTTCCTGTAAACGCAAGGTTTTTTTAGGCAACAGCCATAATCGCGTGCTCATCAAAGTGAAAGAGAGCGATACCAAGACTATACGGCATCAACAACATCCTGTCTTCCGTAATCAATCCTGTCAAACCAATGTGAAGCCATCATTGGGTGAAAGACTGGAGTGGTACAAAGATAATTCTATAATATCCAAACGTTATCACAAAAGTTTCTATTTCTTATGATATAAAGGCTAAGATAAGTTTTCAAAAATCTGTAATGCTAAATTAGAGCGCAGCTCTTGGAGTGTTTTGATTTTGCGATGTACCGTCCTAAAGTCTTTGAGTCAGGGCGTGAGGATATATATATATATATATATATATATATATATATATATATATATCCTCACGCCCTGACGAAGCCTGACGAAACGAGGTCCCCGCTCGATACGTCGGACTCTCATTATAACAGATTATTATGCCTTTTCGTGGATCATTTTGTTCTCCACTATATATATATACATTAATTATTTATTCTAATATTATTTATATAAGCAGGAGAAGGGGACGGCATGAAGGAGGAGGAGTGAGGGTACGGAAGAGGAAGAGGAGGAAGACTCTCCTCCTCCTCCGGTTACGCCGACGGCGACGCCGACCCCGCAACATACATGAACGAGCGCCTAAGAGCTGCGCTCAAAAAAGAGGATAGCTGCAAACCTTGAAAAGCGCCTCGAAGGCCGATCCTTTCCACACGAACGTCCTCATTTTGGGATGAGCCGTCAAAGCTTTCACGCTATCGATTCGTTGTGGCTCAGGTCGAATCAGCATTGTCGCTTTCATATGTCCAGTAAAGGCGTTCATCAGCACCACTACTGTGAGCCACCACACAGCGAGAACAATTCTTCCGGGTATGTTTGGTGGGGTTCTCGGCGAAGCTGAAGTGGGAATGAAAGGAATGTGACACATCAAAAAGGGGCGTGACACAAATGTACTGTGTTGTCGTGATGATTAATGCAAGTCAGAAGTTGCGAATGTATATGCATGTACTGGGAGACCGTCCTGCACTTAAGAATTTGCAACATCGGTTCCGCGCTGTAGAGGGTCACTTTCGCCTCTAGATTGAGAGCGCAACATGTGTCATGTAGTCATATCTAAACCAGAATATGCCCGTGCCATCTGCGTCAGTTTCAATACTGCCATTCAGGTGAAATTACGCCAAGAATCTCTGGGTTCTGCACAGCAAGCTCTTTGTTATATCTGTCTGATGTTTTTGTACGCTGGCACACAGGGAAATCGACCACCCTAAGTATACAGTAATTGAATCTGAGGTCAGCACTCGAAGAGAACGAAAGTTCAAATAGAAGTTTTACAATAAGTTTGTTTCATAACGCCGATAAAACAATTAAATAGCTATGTGAAAATCATATGTGTGAACAACGATTAGAAGTATAGTGACTGACAGCCTAAGGAAAGCAAAGGTGGTTACTCTTGGTCATGCTCCTATAGCTTTGTAATTCGTTCATCGACGTTCTTTCTGGCTCATGTAGGACACATATCAGCTGAGAAACTATAATAACAACGAGCTCGCGACGAACAGCGCCCTGCATTTTCTAGCTTGTCGTTGACTATAAAACTATGTATGCACATTTGTTTTATTTGTTTTATTGCAGTTTTCCTTTAAACGCTACGTTTAAAAACTGCACTTGGGTGGTTGAGCTCCGCATGTTAATGTATATCTTATTTGTTTATCTTATAATAGTTTATACCTATTTGAAGCAATATATATATAACTCCTAGTCAGATAATAATCTTGTTAATACATTAAGGTTTTTTTATCGCTTTCGCACAAGCCAAACATTGAAATGATTGAACTCTTTACGAAGGCACTACTTGCCCTCTAAAGTAGGCGTAGCAACAACTTAGCTTCTAGGAACACATGAGACGAAACACTCACACTCGCAGAACAACGCCGAGAAATATATCCACCAGAGTTTCACAAGCCTTTGTGTAGCTGGTATCTTAGACTCGTCCATAAAAATGTCAACCACAAAGTTTGTGAAGACACAAAGCAATAGCGAACAAAGAAGCCCCAGCCACACCTGAAAATATCAACGACAAACACATCAAAATTAACATTTCTTCACCGTACGCACTCCAGAACTCTTAAATCCAATATTTTGATATAAGTTAGAACCATACACTATCTTCAACAAGAAAAAGAAAAAAAATCACAAAGTTCGTTTACTTTGGAGGGACAAACTTTACATCCATCTGAATCATGGTTAAAAAATGCAGATCTCAGCATAATTGTTTTATTTCGATATTTTTTTCAGAACCGCCAAATAGTATCTTCTTAATGCACACGAACTCGGAAGATAAGGCGGTAATAATGGGTCATGGCACCGTAACTGAGTTTAGGCACTACGTTTTGCGCTCAAAACCCACGAGGAAGAGTAATTGTTCAAGACAACTTATAAATTTGTACCATCGCTCCACACTCCACGTCTCCAACAATCTTTTTGCCTAATGGCATCCGTAGGATGAGGTATCAGACATTATTTACGTATGTCGAAAATAAAGAGCATTCTGAACCACTTTGTTTTAAAATATAATATCACAATATAATTAATCGCAGACTGAAACTAAAATAAGTAGCTTTTTTAAAGGTACTCTGAAATGCAAGTGGGTTTTTGATGGGTTTAGAAGGAACACGTGTTTTCGTTTTTCATTTTTCAAGAAAAAAACAAAAATTTTGAGCGCTATTTCCGCCGTTATACGCAATTCGGGCCGGGGGGGGGGGGGGGGGGGGGGGGGTGCCGGTGCGTTCAAACCTTCACACCTTTTCTCGGCTCTCGTTAGTTGGAGAGATAATCGACGTGTGAAATATTCGTTGTAAAATTTTTCTCCGTGTTGTAATAGCATTTATATCGAAAAAAATGTTGTTTATGTTTAAGAAATAAATAGGCTATGTAGAATCATTACGCTTGTCACGGATGTCCCGATATTGCCTTTCCGCTTAAGCTTCAAACGATAAAAAAACATGGCTGCCGGAGTTTCCGGCGTGCTCAAGGAGAGTAGCTCGGTGAGCTCGTTTATTTTTATGAGTGCGAGTCGTTCTGAGTTCACCGAGGTGTTCAGAGTAAGATCTCCTCAACCGATTTATATTGGAGAAAACAACTGTCGCAAGTACGCGCCTTCAGAAGCGCTGTGCCTGTGCTTGGGTTTGTAGCGGGACTGACCTCCAGCCTAGCTTCCCACGTTAACTATGTTGCTTGGCCTGGCTTGATTTGTTCCTTTGCGCGTGTTGAAGCTGGATAAAGGTATTGGTTCCAGGATAAGGGGTCCCGCTGCTATGTGAATTGTGGAACCATTGTGATTATAACGGTGGTTTAATACTGAGAATATTCCTACACAGTTAAGAATTTGAGAGCTATTTCGCTGGAGGCAATCGAGCGTTCGGCTCGCGTCAACTTCTTTCTTCGTTCCAGTCATTTCGGTTCGAAAGGCAAGTGGCTCTAACGTTATGCAGTCCACCTGAACCATGAAAGCGAATATTTTTAGGTCGCGTTTAATTGCGCGCCATGGCGCTCACCCACCTTGCTCGCGGATGCCGTGTGAAAAAATAACAAGAACGGAAAAGCTGGAAGGACTGCATATTTATTTTGTTGATTAGTTTTAGTCCTCTCGGTCGCTTATTACCGCACATTGAATGACGCTGAAAGACGCTTGTATTGGACCGTGGCTCGTTCATGATAGAACGCTAGAACGCCGCTTTCATGGACGCGTCTTCTGAGCGTTGCGGAAGTTTTTAGACGAGGGCGGAATAGCAGACAGACAAGGGCGAAAGCGGACGTCGACGCGCAGCTTTCCTGTCCGCGTTTCACGGGCATTGCAGATGATGTTAGATGGTGGTGAAATAGCAGACGATGTCGGAGGCTGCCGCGTTTCTGCTCGCACTACTAGCAGGCGAGGTCGGACGCGAGATTATACGCACCGGATGTCGCGAAAGGGAGACACTAGGCTTGTTAGCGTGTTTAGTGGAGTAGCCTAGCCAATCCAGTAGTAATGGGCGGACCCACTGATCTCTAGGCAAAGCTGAGAGCAAGCCGTCACCTCCATCTATAATGCGTCAAACCCCGTAAATACTGCGTGCAATTTATTTCCATTTTTTTGTGAAAAATAATTAAAACAAAAACTTACGTGTCCCTTCTATGCTTGTTAAAAAGACTTTTTTATTTTATTTCAGTGTTTCTTTAAAGGGCAAAGGGCATAGATGGAACACGACTTCTTTTTATAATTTTTCCACGCACAAATAGTTTTGTTAAATATTTATTCCGTTAGACGCAATTTATGTGTCATTAGGGAGCCTGGAGCGCGTCTCCGGCTGGTGTGTCTAGAGTCCTTTCCCGCCTAGAGTCACTGGATGTTCCCAGGGCGCCGAATTCCATTCAGCATTGAGTCTGCTTACCGGAAGTCGTATAGAGGTTTTTTTTGCGCGACACAGGGGACAATTACAAGCGAGTAGACACGGACAAGCGAGTCTGCTTACCGGAAGTCGTATAGAGGTTTTTTTTTGCGCTTGTCCGTGTCTACTCGCTTGTAATTGTCCCCTGTGTCGCGCAAAAAAACCTCTATACTGCATCATGAACGAACTAGGCCAACAACAAGTTTTAATTACCGGAAGTCAATCCCACAAAATCCAGTTCTCATTGGCGGTGCTCTACCTGGTGGCGGAAGTTGGCAGTCAGCCATTTTAAGTATGGCATCAAAACCAAGGAGGTTATAATGGGCAGGAGGTGGCGTCCCTATCGCCAATGCATGGAGCGAAGTGTAACGGAAGTAGGCGTGGCCACGAGCCGCAACGAACATTTCTTGACCAATGGGAAGCCTAGTGAGCGGGCGCCGCCATTAATTTCGGTGCAAACAACCGCGTTGCCATGACATTTCCGTGGCAACACGACTGTGTGCACCGAAAGTAATGGCGGCACCCACCGTTATTTGAAACAGCGCTTAACGGGAGACTTTTAAAGCGGTATGGTCGGAATTGGATGAGATTATTATAAACGAACGCCTGGTTGCCCAGCAGAAAGTAAGTGACTAGAATTGAGACGCTCTAGACGACGCACCGTGAAGGACTTGGCGGTGCGCAACGCATTTTTGAATAAACAGCAGCAGCAGATCGCACGAGCGCGCATGCAAGCCAGGAGCGCACAGAAGAACGGGCTCGCGCTTCCAGTTCTGACTTCGCTCGCACATAATGTGGAACTAAGTATAAACACTCACGCTGCAAAGCATTTGCATCGGGGACGCCGACCGCATCGAAAGCTAGCCTCGTGAAGCACACGCCGGAGCAGATTAGAAAGCAGACGAACCGCCGGTGCGCAACCCCACGGCCTCGGAACGGGTGCGCAAGGCAGTCTGGGATTAAACGCCTCTTCCGGCTTCACTCAGGCTGACGTCATTCCGGGTCCTGTCTGTTTAAACGTCCTTGCATCAAAACGAAAACAAAAACATATATAAAACGTTTCAGCGTTACCACCGGTACGGCGCGCACGCACGAGTGGGAGCTGTGGGCATCGATGTGTTGGGACCGAACAAAATATGCGCTTTCTCTAATGTTGTTTTTATGTATATATCAGGTAGCCGCTGCTATGGTTCGCCAAAGAAGATTGCCGGCTCAGTTGCTCGCTCCGGTTGCGCTGGTGCTGCGTTTCAAACCCTGCGCCTCAGACGCGAAGCCTAACACTCGACTTTAATGTGTTTCAATCCGAGAGAGACGAGCCAGCGAGAAGCAACACACGCACCGCTCGGAACGAAGGAAATAACTTTAATGAAAGCAAACCAGTGCCTCCACAGACCAGAAAAGTGGATTGATGAGCTCGATCGAGAACGAACGCTACGCTGTACGCGCTTCGCTTTGGCCGCACAAGGAAGCGCCATATTAGGAAAGGGTTGGAGCTCGACGGCTACAACGTGACTCGGTTCTGAAACGACGCTGGGCAGCTTCGGTAGTCTAGAACATTCAGTGACTCGATTCCCACCCATACATCAAAAGTGGCTCCTACGGCTGTGTTCCAAATCTTACACAAATGAATCCGAGTTACTACAGCGGGTCGTGCCACGTGGCAGCACAGATTGAAAAACGCTGGACGCGGGTAGGCTTTAGAAAGCCAAGATACAACACCCTTACCTTGGAGTAAGATCGAGTAGATTGTGGAACACGTCCGAAGTGGCAACAAATGACGTCAAAGAAGTCGTAGTGTCCTGCTGTGGGATGTCGCGATCCTGGCGGTTGGTCGTTGAAATTGTTTACGAAAAGCTCGAGCGAACGCAAGTGTCGCTGTCGTCGAGGCATCCCCACTTCTGGCTGCCGAAGCTTCTGTGGACTGCCACGCTGCAGAGCGATCTGCAGCAAAACAGGCGTCTGCCACATGCAGCACCGCTGTTGTTACACCGCCAAAATTATGACCTGCGACATCATGACACTTGTATATCGTCACCGGGCGGATATCTAGGGGCCACTTTTTTGGACGCCTTAAATACACCAGTCGGAGAAGCGTTCCAGTTTTAGGCGCGCTTGTGGAGGTCACGGACCGTTCTAAGCCCCGCCCACAGATCAGTGGCCCCTACTGGATCGGCTCGGCTGCTCGACCGAACATGCTTTAAAGCGTAGCGTTTTTCTTTCGCGACATCTCGTGCGCCTAGTGTGGTGTCTGAAACCGCCTGCTTGTCGCGCGGGAAGTCGCGGCAGCCTCCGGCATCGTATGCTATTCTACCACCGTCAACGTTACTAAAACACTCAGTTGGAAAAGTCACTCTTGAAACCCGAACCGCTCGTCTCCCCCGAGACAAAACTGGATACGATGACAGCGCCACCCTTTAGCGGTGAGTCAAGACATGAAAGTGGCTTTATGTAGCTACTGCGAGATGGCAGTGGGAGATGACGGCACCCAGAGCCGTTTATTGGGAGAGTTTGTCCATACATTGGTTTGAATAGGCAAACATCTCGGGGCCAACCAAGTCGAGGGCTCTAACTATGCGACACGACTAATTTAAGCCGTTTTAGCGTCGCTAGAGCGAGAAGGTATAACTTTCGGTGACTAAAAAACTTGGCGTATGTGAGGTTTTCGTCACGTCCATATTCAACGGCAGAATGAACGTACGTGCTCTCCAAACCAGTGCCGACCTGCTAGAAACAGCGCCTCAGCTGAGGCTGGGGGAAAGAAAGCACTGCCAAATCCAGCGCACCAGCTGAGCGGGGCTCGATCCGCGTCTAGAGACGCTCGCGCGCTCCATCCTTTCGATGTTTTCTTTCAGCCAGTCTCTGCTCAGCCACTGTTGTACCACGGCCACTCGATTAGTGGTTCTACCAAGCCGGCCCAGAGCAAATTTCCACCAAGACGCCGACATCGAGCGCTTCTATTTCACGCTTTAAATGTCGTTTGCAATATTGTGACGTCGCGGTCTGCTGATTGGTCGACGCTGTGTCGCACCTTTTAGTTTACGATCTAATCGTTGGGGCAGTATTCGGCGCTGGCGGCGGCCTTTGTTCCACCCATTGGCCAAACTCTCCCAATAAACTGGAGGCATGCGGTTTAGAGAAGCTGGTTTTAGCGAACGCCGTTTTACCAACCCCGGTTTATCGAATGCCTTTAAAGAGAACCCAGTTTAGAGAAAATGGCGATAAGCATTCTTTTAGCAAAGCGGGTAAATCAGGTGAGTTGACATTTTTGTACTGAGCCGCTGCAGACTGCCGCCGCCAAGCGGCGGGACCGCAGCGGGGGGCATGGCTTAACACGCGCACGAGTGATACACGCGAGAAGTAGGAAAGCCTTTTTTTAAAAAGCGTCCCCTTTTCGAGAAACGGCGTTTCTCTAAACTGAGGCTCCGCTTTCTCTAAACCGTGCTTCGATAAAACGTGCCCATTCTCTAAAACGTGCTTGGATGAAATGGCATTCGATCAACCGTAATAAACCTCCAACAAACGGCTCTGGCGCCACCGGCCCTTGCGCGACTCGACCTGAACCAATACGTCCAGCCGTGCAATTCCCGCAGTGGCCGCTGCGGGAGAAATGGCGGCGTTGCGACCGCGTCGAGGTCGGTTTTGGGGTACGGGTCGGAGCCGCTTCTTCAAAGCAGGCTCCTATGGCAGTTTCCTAACCGAGTCGCTCTAGTAACGTAGGCCACCGTCTATCGTCGTCTGCAATGCCCAGATGCGGACATGAACCTTGCGTGTCGGTGTCAGTTTCGTCTCTATCCCTTTGCTCTTTTTCCCCCCGTCTAAAAACATATCCAACGCGAGAAAGACGCGACCACGAAAACGGCGTTCTGACGCTTAACCATGCACGAGCCACGGTTCAGCACAAGCATCTGTCAGCGAATGCCGATGTGCGGTAAGAAGCAACCGAGACGATTAACAAAAATCAAAAGAATAATTATGCATTCCTATCAGCTTTTTTGTTCTTGTTTCTTCTTTTTTTCCCATGGCATCTGCGAGAAAGGTGAGTGAGTGTCATGACGCAAAATGAAAACGCGATCTAAAAAAATTCGCCTAGGATGGCCAGGCGCACTACAAAGCTGGAGAGCTGCTTTCCTTTCGAAGGGAAATGGCGGTAACAAATCTGGACAAACTTAATGCGAGTCGAACGCCCCATTCCCTTCAGCCAAATGGCTAGCAAATTAATGCCTGTGTGGGTATCTTCTCCGTATTGAAACCAGTGTTTCAATCGCGATGGTTGCACAATTCACAGCGCAGCGAGGCCGCTTTTACGGGGACCAACATCTTTAAGCAGCATCAACACGCCCCAATGAACCAATCAAGCCAGATGAAGCGACATATAGTTGAGACGCTCTCTTTCTCTTGGTGTCAACTTTCGTATTTTCTTAGTCTCGGGTAGCTTCAAAATGTTCGGTATATACTTGACGTGGGGGGCGAGGCTTAGGCCACTCCCGCGACGAAAACAAGCACCCGCACAGCGCTTCCGAAAGCGCGCACTTGCGACAGTTGTTTGTTCCCCACTAGATCGGTTGAGGGGATCTTTCTCTGAGCAGGCTGATGAGCGCAAAACCAGCCGAATTTCTCCATCCTGTTAGAGTTGTGAAAAGGGGCTTGGTTTTCATAGCACCCGGTGGGGCCTAGAGCAGGGCTACTCCTACCTAAATTACGTCTAAGGGCGTAAATCTTTTTTTTTTTTTTTTGAAAAAATAAGTGTTTTATTTAGGCCCTGAAAACTACAAGTTTGTTTTCTTATTTTTTTTTATTTTTATTCCAGTGTTCCTCTAGGCCATCTTGGTGAAGTCATTCTGTATACAAGCATTACATTAAATTACATGAAGCTCCGGCTAAAACAGCACAGAGAGCGATAACTTCTTGTTTTGTGTCTGGCACAGGCCCGTAAATATTAAAGGACGCAATGACGCGTAGAAATTATTCTAAACTAACCTGGGTTATGTTTTTGGTACTCACATGCAACATTGTTTTATGCGGGAGTTTGAAATGACAGGGTATATGCTTTCTACTGCGGACCCGTCATACGATGGGAAAGTCACTATATTGTAGACCCTCTACATCACTAAAGAGGATTAAGATACACAAACCTTCCACTCAAAAGCCATGAGTGTCCCGAACACACTGGCCTCCACAACATCCGGGAAACCAGAGAGAACGGTTAGATAATCCGTGCTCACTTGAGATGTAAACGTTGATACCTGGGAGCGATCGTATGTCATCGCAACGGGGCCCAAGGCCATGTCTGCCCTCTGAAACACATCGAAACCGGCCTTGGTGTCAACCTTTCTTTTTTTCTTTAAAACTTTTTTAAAACTTTCTTTTTTGTGTATGCTGCTAGGTCGTTACAAAACGCCCCACTATATTTTATCTGTATAAAAGTTTCGAACACGACATTTTATTATTCCACAACAGTGTTTTGAGGTGGCGAGATAGGTCCGAAAAAGAACGACCTGCAAACTTGCGTACCAGATCTTAACTGCCTTTATTCTTCTTCTCCGTCGAGCTCATTTTTTGTCTCCCATAGCGGGAGTGAAACTCAATCATCTCTAATGAAAAATATGTGGACAGGGTCGCTCTCACGTGCGGCGAGCTGCGTAGCTTTGGGCCACTACAGATGTAAAAAGCACTTCAAATAAATATAATACAAGAAAGTTCGCCACGAGAATTATATATCACATCCGCAAATTGGAAAATATCACAATTGTCTAGATTGCAAGTTGAGTAAAACTACTTTGGGAGTGATTGGAGAACAACAGTGATCAGACGGGACCTGAGTGTGCCACATTCATTTAGTTATTTTATAAATCACATTTCCTTAGTGAATACATTTTGAAGCACGTACACTTCACTTCGGTTTTAATCTAGGAGTAGCCGGCGCTACAATACTATGCAGTGGATTGTTATGGTGAGGTGCATCGTTATGGCGCTCATCTATATTCTAAGTTTGCTGCACGCGACAAAACCAATAACGCACACTGAAGGCGCCATGATCCTTCGCTTTGTTCTGTGCGTGATTAATTTAGCTTTTTTGCGCTATTTGATTGGCGTGATCTGGTCGTAGCTTCGGCTGCTTGCGAACTTAAAATGAAGCGCTCTATGGTCTATAGAACAACACACAGTATACAAAGAGACTTTTGAGATTAACGTAGGTGCTTGTCTGAAATATAGCTGGAATATCGGTCCATTTCCATGCAAAACAAAAACAAAAATAAATTATTTATAATTTTATAAATTCGAAGTCTTTGAAACAGTAGTGTGAAGAAAACCCAAGAACCTAAACAGAACGTATGATCAGCCATTCTATGGATTTATTTACCAGTTCCGTCTTGATGGGTTTTGTAATGTGAAAAAAAAAAATATAAATTAAAATAAAAGAGCAAGAAAAAGAAAATGTAGAAAATGGAAGCGAATAACGAGCAACATCTAGTCTGAAAAAATTAAATTTCATCCTCGTTTTTGTCTTCTAAATTTTGCTGAGCCGAGTAGGGCTTCAGCTTTCCGCTTTCTCAACGATAAGAAAATGCATGTTGTCGAACGTGTTTTCTCATATTATATTTTGTTGCTCTAATTTTAGTTCCCGCAGTTCGTTTAGCGCTTGGTGTAGAAGGCTCGGCACAGTGTAAACGAAACTAGCATTTTAGCAAAAGTGAACGCGCACGTATGGCGAGGGGGTGCTACAGTTTATCGCCGTGACTCGAATCGCGTCTGACGTATATCACAACATTCCAAAGGTGACTCAACACGCGGACTCCAAGGAGGCCCTGGGACTGTCAAGCGATTTTGGAAATGAGGCTCCTCTCGCCCATGAGAAGACTTGTTAGGCTCAGTGTTCTATACCATCGGCCGTACAGTTCGCTTTTTAGCTGCTTCAATATGATTCCGGATAATGTGGCATTAAAAGGGTCGATCAAATCGTGGGGACGGCTCAAACCTTCGACACTTTCATGTGTTTACTACTTACCTGAAAACTCAGAGCACACCTTCTTATTCAATGTAAAGTGTAAGTACAACATTCTGACTCACGCACAGTGTTGTGGGAGCTCACCGCTGACACCCTTCATTAAGTTCAGTCGCTGAAATCTTCATGGCTGCCTAAACATGGAATCCCGTCATTTTTCACTACTAAATTAGCGATCCGAGATCATTCATGTATATATTTCCCAACATCAGGCCTGTAATGCATTCCAAGGTGTCAACCACCTCGTGTGTTCTCAAACTTCGAGCTTCCTAGACGACCTTTCACTATGCGAGGTGAGCACAATCACACAGAATCCCTCAGACTAAGATTCTCACCAGGGTCCAGAGACGTTGCACGAAAATGGTCCCTGCGCTCCTCACGTTTTGGTACATACCGGTCTGATATGAACAGGTGTCACTTAAGTGAAACATATCCTGATAATTAACTTCGCAAAATTACTGTGAGTGAATATTATGTATGTCATTAAAATTGCGAAACCCTACTCACGTTTTGGTGAAGCATGCCGACCAGTCCTGTCCAATTTCCCCCTGGTAAAGCCATGCCCCATTGGCTGTCTTCCGGTGAGGAAAGGGAGTACCTGTGCGATGGGTAAGATGCTTCTAAGCGAGGGGCCGACTTACTACTAGCCAGAGTGGGCAGCTGCATAGGGCGACAAAATGTGAGGGGGGAAAGCGGTGAGGGGGGTCAAATTGTGGAGGCTAGGGTGGCACTGGCCCTTTTCAAGCAACCTTGTGCGCGCAGCATGAAGAATGCACTGCTCACTATAAGCGTTCGCTGTGAAGCTGCCTACATAAACGTGTGGGCATAATAATGTAAAATATCGAGACACGCAGAAATAAGAAAACATACAAGTCGACAAACAATCTGTGCTTGTCCATTATGTTTTGCTTCTCTGTGTCTCACGGTTTCTATTAAGATTTTTTAAACCACCACGACTGACTGAATAAATTCACTTTTTGTAACGCAGGCATGTTTTTTTGTTTTTTTTTGTTGATCAAGTGCAGGTGGGGGTGGCCCTTTATGAACGGCTTAATGCGGCTTTAGCTGTAAGTTTTTTTTTAGTATGTTTATATTGTACGTACGTGAAGCCCCAGCCATCAGAGAGCGCCTCAAGAAGGTTCGCCATCGGCCCTTTCAAGTTTCTGTCGAGGCTGCCATCTTCGTTTTTCACGAGTCTGAGCCGCACCCATGGCAGAAACTGGAATATATTAAAACCACATAACCGGAGCATTACCTCAACATCTTGTTTATCAATGCGTGAGCATTAGTACCCACATGATAGGGAAAAGCTGACGGCGCCCGTCTGCGCACAAAGCTACAGAAATGGAAGCGCGCCGCGTCGAGAGGAGGAGAGTGGTGAAGGACAAAGGCGTGAGGGAGGCTACGTCACTGGGAGGAAGCCAACGCGAGCGCGGATGCCAGAGCGAGCCTCAACTTGCAAGTCTGCGGAGAACGTATGCCTTGGTTTCTGCCAAAAAATGGAGTGTGAACTAAGTACAAGCGCTGGTCCAAGTAGGCGGAAAAAAATTAAGGGAAAATCCATTGGTGGATCCTTAGGGAATGAATTAGCACGACCCTTGGGAAACTCCACACACGTCCTCCTTTGGGAGACGCTAACACTGACAAAGCCAAAAGATAAAGACAAGGCAGAAAAATGAAGGGGTCAGATTTAGCGTTATGCCAACGCATTCCCCAAGAATCCAACAATGGATCTTTCTTTTTTTTTTTTTTTTTGAATGGAAGATTAATGTTGGAACTCCTTGGAAAGCCACCGGGCGTGCTGTCGCATTTTAGTGATGAGATTCAGAGTTAAGCATCAGGTGCCAACGCCAGGCCCGCAGCGAAAAAACAATTACGGTTGTTTCTGACTGTCGATTTGACTGCCGTTTTTTGCTGATACCTCTAAACTTTTAGTGGCTTGCGTCTGAGCTGTACTTTTTAGAGTGTCATCATCGCCAAAAGCAGCTGTGCACTGTTTGCGTATTTGTAAACGGTAGGCTATATTCTTCATGGCAACGCCACTTGCGCCGGATTGACTGTACCTCGAAGAGTACGCTGCGTCGCAACATATAGCAATGGGCGATTGCTGCGCCGGCCGGCAGGGGGCCCTGCGCGTGTACCATTGGGGAGCGCGTTAGCCTCAACCCCCCCCCCCCCCCTCGATTCATTGCGCGCGTGTATCACAAGGGTGCGTGAATGAGGTGCCGCAGACTGTCACCGCGTAGCAGCATGAACGCTCCCCAGTGAAATACGTGCAATTCCCACTGCCGGCAGACGTAACAACCGCCCGGTGTTATATGTGACAACGCAGCGTCCTCTTCGAGGAGCAGGCAATCCGGAGCGAGTGGCGTTGCCATGCCCCATATCGCCTACAGTTTACAAATACGTGTTTTGTTATGCACTTGCTTTTTTATATTTTTCAATAACTATTCATGCCTACGTCTTATATTAGTATACGTGCATTTCAAGCTCCACGTATTTGATTCGTTGGTATCATTTTATTGTAAGCTCAATAAAACTGTAAAACGAAAAGGGTTTTCACGTATTGGTTCAATTAAAAATGTACTTGGAATTGGATTGCTGGCAAAAGTCCTAACAAAGAATAAGAATAAAACATATTCGAGCCTCTCTTCCCTAAACGCGTAAAAAATGTATATGCCAGTAGTGTTTTATGTTGTCATACTTTTTTGTTTAATATGTGTTAAACTAATGAAAACTTTCTCACATTTTATACTCGATTTGTCTCTATCACAAACTTGAAAAATTAGGGTCAAATGCATGCCCATTTGAAAATACTAATAAATAATAAAATTACTGGAAAGGTTGGCAACAAACAGTGTATTTTAACACAATATAATTTTAGGACAGTAAGCAATAACCCTAAGAGGCATTTCAACTTTTTAGAATACAGTTTTCAGACCACTTACATTGAGGGCACAGATCCTGATGTGCGTTGTCGAAAATGATTTCTCTTGGGTGGCCGGAAAGTATAGAAAAAACATAATAGTGATTTGGTAATAACAGCTCTGAACATTACATAGACGCAAAAAAATGCACGTTTAGAAAAAATATATTAGTAAAGGTACCATTCCCAGGTTTAAATTACACTCTTTAAGAAGTTTCACTTCTTAGTTCCTGCTTGCCGGAGTAATATAACTAGCTCTCACGTTATTAATACTTATGCAAAACCGTACTATCCTCCAATTTGAGTAGTGAGGGACGGAGTCCTCAATAGAGTTTTAGGTTTAAGCCCGCGAACGTTAGATCGTACCGATTGCTTGATATATTTACGTTTACCAGGCGTCATACCAAAATGTATGGTAAATTTATTTTGTTTCGCTATCCGTTTCATAATAAATAATGACTCTATCGTTACGCAGGAAACGTTATAAATGGCAGAATATTTTATAAGCTATACAGGGCCTGGACTAGAACAGCAGCTAATGAAAAATAAAATAATAAGGAGCTCAAGCTCCTATTTCGACAAAATCAATAACGCTTGTGATTAGATAAAATTTCAAGTTAATTTACCAGATAAAACCGTATCTTTGGGCCCAAATCACCAAGCAAGCCACAGAGTTAGGCTTAATTCCTACGAGTTTGGTTCCCGTCCGGCATCCTTGGCCCCAAATCGTCAAACAAGTGCCGGAGTTTGAGTTCATTTCCTAACCGTTCAGCTGCCATGGGCATTTCTGGGCGTAAATCTCCTCAGAAGTGCCAGAGTTAGGCATCCTGCGTGAATGTTCGGTGGCCGTCTGGCGTCTTCGGTCCCAAATCACCAAACAAGAATCAGTGTCGGGCTCCACTATCTGGTAGTATGGTTAGTATCTGTCATATTTAAAACCCAGTCTTCTAACATACGTCAGACCTAAGTAATCAGGGCAAGTGACGTTGGTGCTGGTTTATTTATATATGGATGGAGATGACCGATGAGGTTTCGGTAGTACGCGGGTGGTCTGCAACGTAATTAAATACATATCAAGTTTAACTATGCTCGCAACTTTTTATTTTACTTTGGGTGTACCTTGATTTCGCAAGTACAAGGGTGGGCCAAATGTTTTGCCGTGGCTGGACCAGACAACGGTGATTTTAAAACGCACATTGCTGGAGATTATTGTACCACCATGGCTGCCATCGAGAGAGAGATGCGCGAGACTGATTGCGCAAGTCTCCTGAAAACGTGACATTATTAGCCGAAGCGTTGCAAAAGTGAGTGGAGCTCTGTGCGTGTCTTGCATTGTGAATAATAACTCTCAAAGCCTAGCGATAACAAAAAGCAGGACCGGCCGTGGCTCAGTAGTACCGCGCCCCCTACTTTCGGGGGAACCGAAATGAAATCTTCGCGGCAGCGATTTTTAGACCGCAGCGTGCGCATTCACACTGGAAGCGGATCCGCGTTCGCGAAGCGGTTCCGGATGCGGTTCGCGAGCAACCTCGTTCAGACACACCTAGAGGCGGTTGGCGGTTGGCGAGAGGCGGTTGGAGGTTTCTCGGCGATCACGCGTGATCTTTTGAGACTTGCGTTTGGCAACTGTGTTTTACATTCCAAAATGCACTTTAATCCACGATTCAAGGCCCAAATTTTGCTATTTTGGTACTTTAAAGACTTTTCTTCGAGATTTCCGCGCACATCACAAGTTCAGGCAGCGAAAAAAGAGGCATGTACTCGCAAAACTCGCCTGTGATTCCCTCGACTTTGCCCACAAGCAAAGCCCAGCTAGGCGCGCCTTGCTGACTCTGAACACTACGCCTCCGACCTTTTCTTCGAAGTGAACCCTTCCCGCATGAATAGACTGACCTTGTTTTCGGGATAGAGAGCCAGAGGCCAGATTCACGAAGAGCTTCTTACTTTACAACTTAGGTAAGAAGTTTGTAAGTTAAGAACATCGTAAGACGAGGAGAAATCGGTATTCACGAACGCGTTCTTAAGTGAGAGGTGGAAAGCGACGTTCTCGTACGGAAAAACTAGAACTTACCGGTGCTGTTGCTATGGCGACGGCGTCTTCGGCAGCACGAACAACCAATTGGAGAGCTCGGCATGGTTCGGAACACGTGGATTTTTAATAACAAACACAGCCGGCCTTTCTGTCACTACTTGTCTGGGATTCGTGTCCGTGCAGTGATATCGGTGATATGTCTACGCTAACACGACTTATACGCGTCCGAATGCCGAGGCCGGGATGCGTAACCGCCTCCGTTGACTGCTATGAACTCGATCGTTCCGAAGTAAACACAACCGTCATCGTTGGCAAAAGACGTCCCGTGACGGTCTCTTGCAAAGCGACGTAGGGGAAAACAAATTGCCGCAGCGTTTTTCGCGGCCTCGGAGATGCAGGAGAAAGCAGACGTTAACAAAGATACGTCTGAACTACGAGTGTCCAGCGAGAGCCATGTAATAACTGTTCACACTCGGAGGCGACGCGCGCGTTTGATCGAAGTGCTGGATTCGCGCTGTTGGACCGATCCTTTACGATTGCAACTCGATACTGACGTGACACTCGGCAAAGAAAGGTTGAACCGCCATTGCGACCCACCAACTGTTATAGCGATCGACAGTGAGGTGCAGTCGTGTCAGAATAAAAATGGGCTACTAATAACAAAGTGTACACACCGTGTTGCGAAGGTAATTTATACGGCGTTTATTTGAGCTCTATATCACACAAAACAAGGCGATAGAATCGATGAGAGTCCCTTTTCGACGACAGCGTTCGTCACGGCTGCCTCGGAAAACATTGACCTCTTAATCTAAAATTGAGGTCAGCGATCAAACTATAATAGGGGAAGGGTTCACAAGGGTCGCGCGGGCGTATTCCATTCAGCACGCCAGCAGGTCGTGGGCAGACGGTCTTGGCCAAGGACCGTCGGAGTGCCCCTGCGCCGAGTCGGAGTGCCTACTAGGCCTATCTATTGAGCTCGCTTGGTCGGGGTCGGTGGAATCGTGCCCGATGGAGCTTTTCCCGGCTGTTTGTGGATCCAGCGCCCTTGTTCGTCGTGTTCTGTTTCAAGTACTTTTTACTTTTTTCTTGCTGCTTGAAGTCGGGACGCGTGAGAAGAGCACGTAAAGAAATAAACGTCCGTTGGTCGTCGCGACTAAGTAGCGACGCTGTCGGCCATGCGGGTTTGATCGTAAGAAGTGCGTAAGACAGCTTCGGAGCTGTCGTAGGATTCCGTTGTAACCTGCGCAAAACTTACGAAAGTTTCGTTTCGTGATTATGAATTTGTTCTTACGTTTTGTCTTACACACAATTTTGGCGTAAGATCGTTTCGTGAATCTGGCCTCTGTTTTCCCCCTCGTTTTCTCGTATCATTTTCGAAGTTGTGAGCGGTGGGCTGGACCGTGGTGCGGGGGAAAGTGTTCGGTGCTACCGGGTCGTGGCTTCGTTGGTGGCGGATTCTCCTCTCGTCACTCGCACGTCGATCGAGTCTGTTTGTTTGAAATTCATTTCAAATGAACGCCGTATGGAATACCTCTGTATCGTCTGGTTCGCACGTTTTATTTATTATGTTCCCTTTATTTTTTTTTGTTAGTAGGAAACGTTTCAGCTCGAGCTAGCGCAGGTAGCCTGCCTGCTCCGCGGTATTGCGTTGGCTACATTATCTGGCTCACGACGTCTCCATCGGACTTCGTGGTGGTCATGAACTGGGTCGAAAGCTTTCAATACTTCACACGACTGTCTTAGAGGGCACAAAAGCTGACACTTCGGTTAATCAGGGGCGGGTTCCAACTCTCTATGGGCATAGACTACCAAGGCAGCGAGCTTCAGGCTGTGTTACCCGGAATAATAAACAAACTCTTACCCGAACAAAATCACCGGAGCGAAGGCCGTTAAGATTGTTAGCCAATTCTTTTCGAGACGGATTTAAGTGACGCACGTGAAGACCAGGTTTCTCCGTTGATTTTTCTGCTGTAACGCTAGGACTACAGCGCCTTGGACGCCTCACCACCGAAAGGTGCCATCTTGTGTCGAAAGTCACTGACGTGACGTGAGTGTCGCGTTGCGATTGGTTGCCGTTTCGCGGTTCGCCATAGCGGTTGGGGCAAATCGGTACCGAAGCGGTTGTCAAAAACGCGCTCCAACCGGTCGATCCCAGCCGCTTTGCGGCTGATAACGCGCGGATCTCCTTTGCGTTTGCGGATCCGCTTCCAGTGTGAACGCTCCATTAGGAGCCCGTTTCCGGGTTGAGCGGCGTCGCCGTCGCCGCCAGCGTAACCGCGCGCTGCATTATGGAACGTTTCTCCGCTAAATTTAGCGAAAAAAATTCTTCGCTACATTTAGCGGAAAAATCTCTCCACTGAATCCAGCCGAAAAAATTCTCCGCTAAAAGTAGCGGAAAATGTTCGGCTAAATTTAGCGGAAAAATGCGCGCTAAATTTAGCGAAATTTTTTTCCCGCTATTTAGCAAAAATTTACTGCTAAATGGGAGGGGACGAGGAGCGTTAGGGTGCGGAAAGAAAGGAGGGCCATATCTTCCCCTCCGCACCCACCCCTCCTCCTCGTCGAGAGCTGCGCTTCAGTTCGGCATTACAGAGAATTTTAAACGTTTTTCCTTTATTTCTTTTGACGTTCATTTGAAGCATTTGACAACATTAACCCAGCACGCCTCCCTCTTACAATCACTCACTCCCTCTCCCCACCCCCCCACCCTCCACCCTAACCAAATGTAACATTCCAAGCTTCGGCTACGAGACGCCATCCTTGTCCACCCTTTCCTTTCAATACTATTGTCCGTTTCACGATAACTTGGAAACTGTGGAGGCTATGGCCCCTGCGACCCAATAAGAGCGCCGGAGTGAGGCACGTAACATCATGTCACAAAAGCGTTTCTGTTGACCATGTATTAATCACGTGACTCGCTGCGACTCCCCTATTGGGTCGCGGGGGCCTCAGCCTCTGGAGTTCGCCAAGCTATCGGAAAAATGCAGATAAGGCTTAGCTGCATTGTCCTTCTCCCTTTGACGTCGACTTTTGTTTAACCTCTCCACCTGCTTTTGTGTCTTCCTGTGACTGTGAACGAGCGCGACGGCCGCTTCAAGCAAATCATAGGTGTGAGCGAAACGTGACCTTTCTCCGCAGGACGCGTGGGACGAAAATGCTTGGACAAATCTTTGTCACCTG